CCCGCCGAGGGACGGGTGTCCGGCCCCGCCTCTCCCCCGCCTCCCTTCCCTTCCCTCCCAGCGCCGCCTCGGCCCGGGAGCGCCGCTGACCCCAAGAGCTTGCCGCCTTCCCCACCCAGCTGGGACAGGCGCTGGTCAGCTGCTCTCGATGCTCTCCCTTCGTTTACAAAGAGCTGCACAACCACCTCCGGCATTCCCGTGGGAACGGGACACCCACGGCCGAACTCCGCCTCCCGGGCCAGTGGTATTTATAAGCAGTACCAGGTTCCCCTCAGTGCCTCCTCCTGCATCACCTACTACCCTCCAAAATCCCATCCAACCTCATCTTGAGGGTAACAAGAAGGGTTTATCTCTCCTGCAGCTGTTCTGCACCACGATAAAAACCCCAAGAGGAGACAATAATCCAACAGACAAGTTAAAAAGTTAGATTTAACTTATTACTACAGTGAATTTATAGATGGATTCATGCTTGCTTCTGCAAACAGGATCTTTGTGGGCACATCACTGTGTGCATAGAGCAAAAGAAAGAACCAAAGCACAGATTGAAGTCTTCTCTGTCCCTTTGCTCCCTGTTCACTTGAGATTAGGGCACCAGGGCCTTCCTTGTACCAGCTTTCCTTGGAGTATAATAACAGAAATGGAGGTGCTTTCCTCTTAATGATTTTCACACATTCACACAGTGTCCAAGCTGATCTCTGACCACAGAGGTAAAGTGATTCCCTTCCTGTGGCTCCACACACACAAATCTTCAGGTTGGTGTTGTACATTAATAGGAAACAGCACATTTGTAGGGACCAGTGGGCTGGCACAACTCTTGCCAAAGGGAGGGAAAACCCTGGTCTTCCTGGTAATACAATCTCCTCTGGCTCCCAAGGGGCTAATAAGGCATCCCAATCTCCCAAGGCTAATAGAGCATTCTCCAGCCTCATCAATGGATCCGTGCTTGCACAGGCAGCGAGTCCTACCTGGTTTGGTTTTGTCACTTGAGTTGGGCCTCAGACAACATATCACAAAGACCAATATTTTCTGTGGTGATCTCACCTGCAGATAAACACCAAGATAGTCACTAGTAACATAACCATGACCTGGACACCATTATCCATTGCAATGGAGGAACATGATTTTTGTTGAGTCACTGCTGCTTGATTACATATATTAAGCAGCTCAGTAAGAAAGGGAGTGGTAATTTGTTGCACAAGTCTGCCATGCCCTCAGCAAATACAACCTACACATAAGGTGTTCTTTGCCAACAACACAATTTCTCCCACCATAAAAAAAAACAAAACCCAACTGTGTTAGAGGACACAGTCCTTATTCCTCTAAGTACCTATCCTTAGGAAAGGCTCAGAAAAATTTTGGGTTATGAAAACAGAGAAAATTAATTTGAAATTTCTCATAGCAATTACGAAACACGCAGGCAGCCTGCTAATTCACAGCCTGGAGACAGGCATGTAGGAACTCAAACCAGCATCACAAGACCTATATGGTACAGTAGGCTCTCAGAAGCACCAAAGAAAATAAACCCACTTCCTCATTCTCTCCTGGTGTTGCCTGGCACACAGGTGCCTGTGGAGACAAGAGGTAAAGAACAGGTTTGTCCTGCTGCCTCTGGACAGAAATGCCACTTTCCCTTCATTGCTGTTTAGCACTGCGAGTGCATACTGCCACTGTACAGGGAAGTAACAGCAAGCTAACACAACCAAGACACTATAAATAACAATCCTCCCTTAGAAAAGGAAATCTGTTTTTTAAATACTTGGAGGCTCTTACTGTGTTACCAGGCTAAAAGCTTCAAGTACAGAGGGAAAGTCTGCAGCTGTACTTTCTCCTTCCCTGGGAAAAACACCTCAGCTCACTCTGAAGCTGAAGGAGCTTTATTGTACACAATCCAAGAACTTTTGTACCTTACAGAATCATCAAGGTTGAAAGAGACATTCAAGATCATCAAATCCAGCTGTTACCCCTAAACCACATCACCCACCACCAGATACAGACTCCTCCTGAACACCTTTAGGGATGGTGACCCCAGAAAGACACAAGAGGTAACGAGGAAATAGGTACAGCTGTCCTGCAATGAGACAGGCAGATGGCACTGGACCAGGTGCAGGGACACACGGGGCAACCAAGAGACAGAACCCAGGGTCTCTCCCCCGAGGCTGTTGCACTTCTACACTTGATTCAGCACCTGCTTAGACTCAGCAGCAATGATTGCCCAGGTTAAAAGGTCCCAGATATCAGTGGCTCAGGGGACAGAAGTACCCCACTTTACCAACAATAAGATCTCCCACAAAACCCCTCACGTCTCCCGCTACCCAGGTAAGAGAGGGGACAGCCTACTGGGCTCTTAAATACCACCCGTGCTCATTGATTGGCTGGCGCAGGAAGGCGGGCCAATCAGCTGCTTTCTCCGAGCCCCGCCAATGGCGGCCGCCGTTGCTGTTGCCAGGGCGCGGGGGTCCCGCGGCGGCGATGGCGGCGGGGCCCGCCCCAGCTGCGGAGGCCGCGCTGGAAGTGAGGTGGGGGCGGCCGGCACTCCCCTCACTCCCCTCACACACTCCCGAGCCGGGTGGGGTGCGCCGTGTCCTGCGCTGTGCTCACCCCGCGGCGGCTCCGTGGATAGAACGGTCAGACAGGGAGAGGAAGGGAGGCTGCGCTGTCGGGGGCTGTCAGGACAGCGCAGGAGGAGAGAGAAAGAAGCACGGGCACAGATGACAGCATCACGGAGTCGGGCGGGTTCAAGGGGCACAGTGGGTCATGGGGTCCAACCTCCCTGCTCAGGCAGGGTCATCCCAGAGCATGGTGCATGGGATTACATCCACACGGTTCTGGAAAGCTCCAGTGAGGGAGACTCCATAGCCTGTCTGAAAAAAACCTGTTCCAGTGCATGGTCGCTTGTACAGTAAAGAAGTTATCTATCTATCTATCTATCTATCTATCTATCTATCTATCTATCTATCTATCTATCTATCTATCTATTATATAACAGTCTGAGCCCTTGTCCCCTTTGGCCTTTACTAGGTGTATAGGAATGATAAATTGCACTGTCACCCCATTAATTTATTCCTGTGTACAAGTTTTCTAGATTCCATTTTACTTCCACAAACATAAGTTAGAAATACTTAGTTTCCACTGATTCAGACCTAATGCTGCAGAAAAGCAAGGAATTAGTTCTGTAAGCCTGTTCAGAGAGGTTTCATGTGCCGTGGTACCCCATACAACCTGTTCTTGTATGAAGGAAGGCCCAGAAAAACATTATCAGCTGAAATGTCTCCTCTGTTGCCATGGATTTCAATGCCATGGCACATTGTCAGTGCTCCCACTCCTCTCTGGCTCCACTTGACTCCTCTGTAGCACAAGAAGCCAGGAGCAGAAACTCTTCAGAAAAGATAATGGGAAGTTATTGCTGGACATAAATTTATCTCAAGACCAGTAATTTTAAAACATTCCTAAGTATGAGAGTGCTGAGGCTTTAGTACCGTGTTCTCTGAAGAGTACAAAGGATCAACTGAGCTGATTTTATGATTGTCTTATGTTTGTGAAAGGAGTGTAAAAATGCTTCTCATCACTGCAGAGAACAAAGGTCTCTCCCAGTCAAATTCTCTGATTTGGAAAAAGAGCAGAGATGGGATGTTTCTGAATGATGATTCAAAGACAGGATCCTAACAGCATATACAGAGGGTATCTCTTACACTGCTGGAACTTTCCTGCCATGGTACCAGCAGCCTAAATTGACATCCTCACTTGGTGGTAAATGCAAATCCCTTTAGTAAGACAACTCTGATGTTTCTCCACACACTTTTTGAAAAGTAAAAACATCTGCAAGCAGTTATGAATTTGTTGACATGTTGTAAGTTCATAAACAGACTAATCCTCAGTAATTTATTTCAGTCCTTGTGTAACACATCCTGTTTACATTCCAAAGGTTTACCATGTTAAAGTACTGGAGTCTTTAAAGCAGAACAGTCCTCCTGGTTTGCTTCATTTAAACAGAAGTTGTACCTTTATATTTTTTATTTTATGTGTATGAGATGAACAGTGAAAGTGCAAAAAGGTTAAGCAAACACAGCTGGGTCCCAAGTATAGATTGTACCCTTACAATTCAAACAAATGAAGTTATGCCCTTTGCTGGCATAAGTGAGTACGAAACCAGAGCCTGTGAACTTGGCTGACTTTATTTTTAGTGAAAACTAAAAGAAATAAAAGCATCTCCCCATATTTTTATGCCAGTCCTTTGTGCTCCATTGGGGTAAGATTGACCATATGTTTTTGGAAACACTGAACTAGTAATTTGTAATACCCGATCTTAGTTGTTGTGGTTTTGCAACACTGGTATGAGGATGAGTCTAACAAATCCCAATCACCAGTTCAGGTAACTTAGACTACAACATTTCCTTTTGCACAGTATTTTGAGAAATGCTTGTCTGATTAATGTTTTAACATTCAGTTGCTCTATTTTCAGTTGGGTTCAGGGATTCTCAAACAAGAACTTGGCCTTTGTCAACAATCAAACTGTCTGCTACCCTTGTGGTAGCTACATCCTCTTCCTGGACATCAAAACGAAGAAGACAAGAGCAGTGCAGTGCCAGAGTGGCCAGGTGGGAGCCTTTGCAGCAAATGCCAGCAGTCAAGTGGTGGCCTTCTCCGACCGGAAGCTGAATCCCCTCATACACATCTACACTTTTCCAGATCTGAGTAAACTGACAGAATTAAAAGGTAGTGATGTGGTAACCCTCATCATCATAATTTCATTAAAACAATACTTTAATCGTCAGTTTCTGAAGTTGTGGAGCTTTTTTATAAGACTTGAAAAACAGAGACTGTTTTGTCCCTGTCACAGGACATGTGACAGGGAACTGCCTCATGAAGAAATTCATAGAAAGCAGTGGAAGGAATTTTCCACTGCACTACTTTTATTTACTTTTAAGCTAGGGAGGAATATGACCATACATAATGAAGCTAATTTAAAAGGAAAAGAAAAGGAGTTAAATGGAATTAGTTTTAGGAAAATGTAGTCAGAATAAGTCATACTGCAGTAGACTGCCAGGCAGACTGCTGACAGCCAGAGGAGAAATCTGGGATGTGAGGGATGAGGGTTCTTACAGTTATACTTTGGAGTCCAGAATCTAATGTGTGTTTTTGCCTCCTTCCTGTAATTTCTCTCCTTGGTTTAGTTGCTTACCCTATTCATGTTTCAGTTCCCTTGTCATTTAAATGAGGATCATGATACTTGCTTTTTCATGTATATGAATAAAATTATGACTGCAAAATATTTCATGGACTTGGAGAAAAATACTGTACAATTTCAAGATATTATTAGAAAGAAAATTGAAAAAATTCCAAGCAGTGATATATAAGGAACATTTTTATGATCAAATCAAAAGAATAATCTGCAGTGAAGCAAAGAAATCAAGGGCTTGAAGAATATTTAAAGAGTTAAAATGTATATAAAGGAAGTGAGAAGAGTATCTGTGGTACTATCAAATAAAGTCTGGGACAATCAAAGACCATGTTCTTAATTTTTCTATTTCAGGTGATGTTCAGCTGGACTATACCTTACTTGCATTTAGTTTTAGAGGCCCATATCTGGCCAGTTACTCTTCAATCCCAGAGTTTGTTCTTTCAGTATGGTAAGAGTAAAAAAAAAATTCTCTTATACCATTTGTATTTAATTCATATTTTTGTGTGACTACTGTTGTAACATAGATTAAGCTAACAAATGTGGGACACAAACTGGTTTCCTTAATCTCTTTTCTTTGATCATTGTCTGATCATTGTCTGCAAACTGTCTGTACCAAAATTGCTGTTTCTTTTCTAGTATTAGTAGACACTAGTCAAAATGGCTGTCAGCAGTAGCAAAATTATCTTTTACCTTCTTCCAAATTTTGGTTTTTGGAGTGCTTCCAGATCCTCCAGCATCAGTTAATTATCTGTTCACTGTTGGAAGTTGAGCACCATGCTGTTTGTGGAAGAAAGTTGCCTGCTGAAAAGAGGAAAAGGGTTCTAAAGCTGATTTGCACTGGTTTGTCCCCGTGGACTGTTCAGTGGTCCTCTTAATTACTTTTGCTTGATCTTAGTTCTGGCTTATAATTTTGCTCAGTGATTACACTAACTTGGATCACTGGGTTGGATCATAATTTTCTGTTCATTGATGTGAAATATTATATAATGCAGCACAGATAGAGAAAGGTAGAGTATTTAATATTCTAATTGTACTGTAAAATACAATTCTGCTGTTGCCTCCATTGCCAGCAAGCTCCCATTGACTGTGGAGTCTGTGCACTTCAAAAGAAATGGGGAGAGTGGAGTAGGAGAAAGGCAAGGGAGGACATGTAAGGAATAGTCAGTATAGTCTCAGGTTACTAAAGATCTTTTCTTGTACAGTTATAAGTGAAGATGCAGAAACTCCTGGAATTTCAGAACTTTGGTAATGAGAGTAGATACTATTATGGATGCCTCTTCTTTAGCCCTTCTGAAGAGTAATAATGTTTGCTGTGAACTCTGATCATACACAGTAGTTCAAGAAGGATGTCTGTGTATATCACACTGGAAACCAACACAGGCTCTGACAGCTGACACACTTGTAACACACATGGTTCATTGTGTTCATTGTGTGCTCTTAAACAAAAAAGCACTATCCTGAAAGACTTGTCTAGATTATTCTTAAAACAAGAAATACCTAGAAACGTTTAAATACTTTAAAGTAGTAGTGATTTCCAAGGCCAAACAATTTTAACCAGTTTGAATCAGCATGTTACAACTATCAGCAGGTAGTTGTCATAAAAACCATCCTAAGCCACAAAGAATTTAGTAACAAAATACAATTGCGTTAGAATATTAAGCTTAGAATGTGTAATAATTTGAACAGAGGTGTTTGAATTTACTGTGAAATCAGGACTTTTATTTTGGTGATTGGATTATAGTGTTCATTTATTGAAGATATCTGTATGTACAGATGTCAGAAATCACAGTGAGCATTAGATGTCATGTCTATATGACAACTGCACAGCCTCAGTATTTTAAACAGCTAGTTTGGAATCAGAGGTATAAGAGGTGTTTTTAAAGATATTTGTCTCAAAATATAAAGAGCTTGTGGATAACTAAAAGCTGCCTTTCATCTGAGATATTTTATCCCTAATATTTATTCTTTTCTGTTCAAAGGAGAAACATAATGTCAGATTACTTTTCAGATACGTTTCACCATAGTTTCAGATCTTAGTGAATTATCTACTATAAAACTCTGTTGGTGTTATCTGGTAGGTATAAGACAAAAACATGCTGACAGATCTTTAGAAAGCAAGATATGCTCCAATCTTTAAAAGTCAGAATTTTAATTTATAGCTTCCTGTGATTTTAATGAGGGCTACTGCATATGTGTGAATAATTCCCTTTTGTTGCATATGCTATAAATGTTAACCATTGTTTGCTTCGTGATAATTTCTGTGAGTGAATTTATTACAGCCAGGCTAAGGGATTAAACTGAATCCATTTACAGCAGTGTATGCATTTTAGATTTCTCAGCAGCACTGACAAATACTAGAGCTATAAATGTTATTTAGATTAACAGTCAGATAGATTGTCCAATAAATTAAGAAACAGTTTTAACCATTTTCTTCAAATGATGTTAATCAGTTCTTGGATAGCACCTAAAAATGCAAATGCCATCAAATATTATTCTGTATATTGAAAAATATGCAAATTAGATGAGGAGAACATAAAATAGGTTGTACTGGACAAAAGAAAAGTCAGCAGAAAGCAGATTCCCAGACTTCTCTTAGCTACACATAACAGCCCCACACAAACTTTGCTCTGGTTTGTACCCAGGTTTGTTAATACAGCCATAGCTTGTATGTCTGCACTCACAGCACAATTACTGTATTACCTAGGTAATTAATCCTTAGATAATCATAGGCTGAATGTGGTTTATTTCCTCATTATCGCACCTTCCAGCTGCAAGCATTACAGTCATTATGTTACAGATTGGAAAAACAAGGCTGGGGTGCTGAAGAGTTAATTGTTTGGGCCCATTTTAGTAGTCACTGATGGAGCTAATGAAAAAAAAATCCATTTCTTGTGACCATTGGTCTTTTCACAAAAGGGAGTGCCTGAACATGTTTCTAAAATGTCAGTTATTCAATCATTTTCTAGCAGTAATAATTTTATGTGTCTAATTAACCACATCCTTTGCATTCTCGAGAGGACCTTACTTGTTTGACAGCAGAAATTTTTTGTCAGTGACAAAGTATTTGTTTTCCAAACTGGATCTTGAACACCAGTCCTAACCACATCCAGACCTTTGGCTTCAATGTTTTTTTACCTGTTTAACGGATTTTATTTTCTTTTATTCTCCATAATGAAGGAACTGGAAAGAAAATATCCTCCTGTGCAGTAAGTCTCAGCCAGGGATAACAGGAACCTCTCTGAGTTTTAACCCCATGAATTGGCAGCAGCTGTGTTTTGTTGCTGAGAGCTCTGTTACCATCTGGCGTGTTGAAAGGAGCAAGGATGAGCATCACCTTACAGGACAGTGAGTGGAACACCCCTCAGGCTAAGATAAACTCTACAAGTACATTTTAATAACAAAGACTAGCAACACACTTCTATTTGCAAAGGATTTAGTCCCACTTAGTTCACGTAGCAATTGCAGTCAGTAATTGCTAAATCACAACCACTATAAATCTGTCTAGTCAATCAAGTGAATTAAATTTATGATTTCATGTCTTAATACTCACATGACCAGATTATACACACTATGAAGCTAATACTAATCAGCTGCTTTGGCAGCCTTGATCAAAAGCTGTGTGACTGAATAAAAGATAGTGCCTGGACTGCTTTTCTGTAAATTGACTACATTGAGCATTGCTTTTGTAGCTATGAAACCATCAAATTTGCATCAATTTTTTCCTAGTAAGCATAGTTAAATGGTATTTTGTTATTATCACAAATTGTACCAAAAGCAGTATCAGTTTTCAATGTGATTTCCATCTTCTGTGGCTAATTTACAGTCCAGAGAGGATGCCTCTTATCAATGCAATTCACTGAGCACAGTAAAACTAGAATTTATTTATGCCAATATGTTTTTTGAGGCTGGTATAAAAGTAGCTTATATCACTCAAGTTGGAGTCATTGACATATAAAACCTATGCTTCTAGATGGCAGCTGCTCTACCATTCCCACCTGTGTTTAACTATTAATGTAATCAACATATTGCCACTTACACAGTTACATTAATGAAAGTATAAACAAGGCCTTAATTTGCGATCTGAAAAAAATACTGAAGGGTTTTTTGCCTTTTGGCATTACAGAATGCATATGTAAATGCACAGGCATACTCACTTTTCCTCCATTACTTTTGCAGAAATAAAACCTGTTTTGAAAACAGCTTCTACATTTTGTATCAGCATTTACTATTCATATTTCTTCTCTTCAGACTGTATCTTTTGCCTTTTCACAGCCCTGTGGAACTCCCTGATGATTGTGGGGTCGTGAGTCCTCGTGAGGAATTGTTTTTCCCACCTTCTCGTAATGATGATCCATACTATGGCCCTGATTTGCCAGTTTCAGCCGTTGCTGGACTGGAAGGAGATGAAGCAGAAACATTTGTGGTAGTTACTGAATTTTTTTCCTTTTTACCATTCCAAGTCATATTTTCTATACAAATAGGTGTTAATAACTTCATAATTCTAATGCTTATTAAATAGATAGAACCCAGTAAGTGGATCTGTTACCTCAACAATATTTCTGAAGTCCATTTTGCCAGGAGACTGAGAAGGCACAGTCCTGCTGCACAGTGCAGTGAGATGTCTAACATAGGTCCTAGCACAGTCATATATCTGTGCAGTGGAGGTTTGGATCTGCATCCCAGAAGCAATATGAAGTGTGTCAGCATCTAACTGTGCCCAAGCTAAAATGACCTGCTGAAAACTTGAAAACTTATTCCCATGCTAAACTGATAGGAACCATCACTTCCTTTTTGATGTTGAAAATGTCTCAAGCTATGGAAACACTGAAGGCTTTTTTCCAGCCATTATTTACTTTTTATCCTCCCTTGAGATGCCTCTTTTTGGAGGCTTCAAAAGTGTTCTCATTTTGTTTGAAATTTACTTTCATGTGACTACCAACCAGAAGTGTGAAAACATCTAATTTGTAAATCTGGAATTATCTTCTAAGATTTGGACCATCAGTTTCTATTTGGTGGCTTGTGATATATATGAAACACCAAAACTAGAATGCATAAGATGACACTGGCATTATATACTACATTCTTCTCAATGGACAAATGTGCGTTCTGTATTAGTGTACAAAGTAGAATCAGAAAATAAAACCAGGAAATTATGTTTTCCTGACCTCATCTTCTTTTCATTGCCTGCTGCTTTCACAATGGTAGAGGTTTTTAACTGTGTAACTAGTTTCCTATGGTTTTCGGGACAATTAAGAACTATAAAACAATATCCTTTATTGGTTCTAAATACATGTGAACTGCTCATATTCAAAATCACTTAGAAAGTGAAGATAATATATGCTCATCTAGGGCCTTGCCATTTTCTTCTGCCTTAGTGCCTCTTAGGTTATATGCAGACGATGAAGTCTGCAAAACCACTTTGTTCTTTATTCTGTAAAGGAAATACAAGAAGTATTGGAGAAAAAGCAGTTCCTGTATTAGGTCTGTGAGGCTTAATAGAATTTGTCCTTGAATGGATGTCATTCTTTTCAGTGGTAGTAGGTTCTTATGCTTGAACTTGCAGAACCATATTGTGAACTTTTCCACATGGAAAAGTTGTGCTTTCAACCATATTAGATATATGTACTAGAGATCTCTATAGGGTCTTTGCATTTCCAGCTGCCTTCAGAAAAACCTACATTTCTTTTTAGCACCTTCAATGTGATTATGTTCTCCTTATCCATAGAAATATTTCTGGAGTAAGAGTAACCTGTTCTGATAGTCTTCACTGAAGATTTCCTTTTCTTTCAAACTATATGGTAAATATTTTGATAGTTATTTACTGTCCAGTTTTCTTAGATGAGTATATTTTGGTTGTCAGTACTGGTAGGTAATGAACAACAAGTTATTTAGAAATGAAATGGTTTTTTTCAGAAATACAGGATCTTGTTCCTTTTGTTGTGGTGGTGTGTTGTTTCCTGTGCACTAAACTGTGAGGTTCTACTCATAGTTTAGCACTGGGAGGCAATGCATCTGTTTCTGGCATGTTTTCACCTTGCTCCAGGATGTGGTAGCTGAGTAATTTTTTTAGGACTTGGATTTATTGTGCCTTACAGCACTAATTCTCTCCTCCACGCATGCCTGTGCACATAAACTCCATCTCTAACTGAGCAGAAAAAGTGAGCACTCTTAAATCTTCTAAGTCCTGACACTGGAGGGAAATCACATGCTTGTGTCCTGTCAAGTTAACCACCTCTTTCCAACACTCCAGCCCTGAAAAGCAAGCCCATTGCCAGTCTGCTTGTTTGCTTCTTGGAAGTGTGTCAGTGTTCCATACTCCAGCAGACTGGCTATGTACCCGAGTGTAACCACAGCGGGGCAGCAGAGGGAAAGGAATTGGAATATCCTACAGCTTGCCATCCTTCTCTTTCTTGCATGAGATTTTTCTAGATGAGAGTCTTTTAAATGTGCATTACCACAGAAACACAGAATACGCTGGGTTGGAAGGGCCCCACAAGAATCATCGAGTCCAACTCCTGGCTTTGCACAGAGCCATCCCCAGGAGTCATACCCTGTCCCTGGGAGTGTTGTGCAAACTCTGTCAGCCTTGGTGCTGTGACCACTTCCTGGGGAGCCTCTACCAATGCCCAACCAGCCTCTGGTGAAGAATCTCTTTCTAATGCCCAACCTGAACCTCCCAGATTCAGGCCATTCCCTTGGGTCCTGTCACTGTCACCACACAACAGAGATCAGTGTCTGTCCCTCCCCTTCCCCTCACAAGGAAGCTGTAACTACAGTGAGGTCTTCTCTCAATCTCTTCTTCTCCAGGCTGAAAAGAGCAAGTGACTTCAGCTGCTCTTTATACAGCTCCCCATCTAAACCCATAACTGTCTTCCTAGCACTCCTTTGGATACTCTCTAACAGTTTACATTCTAGCAGTGCTTATATTGCAGTGACCAAAACTGCTCACAGTACTCAAGGTGAGGCAGCATTAGTGCAGAGCAGAGTGGGACAATCAAGCCCACTGGAATCGATTTAATCTCTAGCACCAATTTTATTCCATTGTCTTTTTATAAAACATTTTGTGGCAAGGATCCATCATGGAGATTTTTTTTTCCCTGACGAGGTGCTACTCAAAAGGGAGAGAAGTTAAAAACCAAAAAGTTAAAAATAATTATTGTTATTGTTATTGTTATTGTTATTCACCACCGTACCAATGCACAGTCCAAGAAGCAACCTGGTTTGGGATTTACATAATCTCATCCTACGATTGGTATATTTTTATGTTTAAAGACAGTCATGACAGCAGCTGCATCAAGGAACACTGCAGAAATTGTATTTACCCAAAAAGCTTCTGTTTTGCAGAAGTTCAGTTACAAGCTTCCCAAAGATTTGTGATGTTCAAGCTTTATAAAATCAGTGAAAATGCCTATATTAGATGTTTCTCTGGGTGATGTAAAGACCTATTTGCTATAAATTTTTTACTGTCAGTCATATTTGATTTATAAAGTAAATATTAATATACTTTATTTGTGTAACATTTTTCCCCAAGAAACTAAAAATGCTTTGTAAGCATAAATAGAATGTAATTTACTTGCCCAGAACCATATAACAAGGGCTTGGTATATTTTGCTAATGAAATGTAGGTACTTATGAATCTCTGTCCTGTGTTTTCATCACAAGTCCATCCATATTTCCTCTTTTTATAGAACCTTTAGTGAGACAGCAGGTGTTTTACAGAATTATAGAACCTTCTTTTTTTTTCATCCATCATATTGTTTAGTGATCCTCACCACTTCTGCAGACATGTACAGTGATTTGAATCCTCTCTTTTAAATGTTCTCCCAAGGTTTTCTTGTGTTTTGTCCCCCTCTTCCCCTCCCTGAATTCTCTTTAATCTGGTTCTTTCTGTCATGGTATTTTTATGACCTTTGTTACTGCTGTATCTGAGCAGACCACTCTCTGTCTTTAATAATATTTGCTGGAGAAGTTCTGTTCTTTGTGTTTTATGGAGGACAGATTTATGAGAGTTATTTTAGTGAAATGAAATTCAAGGCACATGGGAAGTCCATGTCAGGGATATTTCTAGCAGTTATTTGCAGAAGACACAAAGATTGACAGAGCTGTTTTACAGAGCAATTTGGATTATACAATAAGATAAGCTATTCAAACAAAATGTGTTTTAGTACTGCCTGATATGCAAGAATCACATGTTCACGTTTTGGCTATAAAGTGGAAGAATATTTTAAAAAGCAGTTTGAAAGGCATTTGTTGTGGTGAGGTCATAATAAGCAACCATTTAAATTGGGGCACTGCTAACATTTAAAGAACCCTCTAGGGACTCAGTGTGTTGAATTTCATCATAATTCTATCATTAAAAGGTTGGGAAATGCCCTTGTTATGATGGGTCAATATCTTTGTGAGGATAGGGAAGATACTGGAGGGATTTCTAAGCTAGAGAATGTAAGCTTGTAACAGATGCAAGTGCTGAAGAATAAATCCATATAAAGGCAAATTTAAAAAAATATAGTTTTTAATTGAAAATATAATTTATCATATAAACAAGCTTCTAGAGGAAGAAGTGAGTTCTCCATCACTGTCTCCAGAAGTAATTTTTTGGAGAGTGTTCTTTGTCAAATTACTGGCTTCAGTGAAGGGATGACTGAACAAATTAATGCTGATGTTAAACATGATGTCAGACTCTATGAAGTAATGATTTTTTTTTCTTCTCTTGAAATGTATATAGCAGCTTGTATAGGTATTTGTCAATTGTTGACTAAACTTGTTTATTTTCATGCTTTAGCCTAGAAATTGTGTTAAGAATTCAGTGCATCCCACTGCCCACTGCTGGACTGCAACCTCAGAAATATACATGGGCTGTAAAGAAGGATATGTTTTGGTAATTGATGCTGAGCAATACAGTGTTTCTGTTCTTCAACAAAAAGCTCCACCTGGTAAGAAATAGCTGAGTGTGTTTCAGTCAAGCAGAGAAGAAAGTAGATAGGTGAAAGCTTTTTGTGCTTTCTTCTGTTCTTCTATTGGGTTTCTTACAGAAATTATAAAGCTGTTTCGTAGAACCCTATTTTTTTAATTAGTACAGTAAACATGAGAATGCATTTTGATATTCTGTGGGGGTGTTTTCAACACCCAATAACTGACTTTCATTTTTCTTCATGGAAAAAAAACCCCAAAAAACTGTAAATACATCAAAACTTATAAAATTAACTATATTTCCATGAGTCCAGATCTTTTTAACAAACCCTACTAGATTAACATTAAACTATTAATATATCAGCTATTAATAGTAGTACTAACAGCAGTACTATTTTTACTATTAATTAAGTACCAATAATGTATTTTATTTTGCATGGAATGTTGGATGGTCTTCATTTGCTGTGTTAGATAAAGTTAGAAGTGATCTTTGAGGGTTCATGAATCTTCAAAAAACAAAACTGAAACAATGTGGCTTCATAGCATTCCTTAGTGCCAGCTCTCACATAGAAGATTTCATAATGAAAACAGGCTGCAAACACTGCCAGGCTTTACTGCAGAATGTATGAAGCACAGAGTGAACAGAAAATATCTTTGGTTTCAAACAAAGAAATCTGGTTTTAGTTTATTCTGGGAATAGGAGGGCCTCTGATTGATTTCAACTCACCAGTGTGGTTTGTGTGCCCTATATGTATTTCCACCTGTCTTTTTTTCATGAGGACCTTTAGCAGGCTATGACTGACTAAAGTTTAATGTCAAGGACAGCCCATTCCAGACCTTCTTTTTCTGAGAATCTTGAGGTGTCTCTTCTGCTAAATGCCACTACCCTCCACTGCCCATTCAGAGGGCTCCTAAATGGAGGATGCTGAGACACAGACAGCAAAAATTGTTCCTTAGGCAATCTGCACCCCATTATCCTTTGATGGGATGGAAAGTGTCAGACCTATGGTGTACATGAAGTTCATACTTTGGTCAGGTCTAGGAGGAGTACTGGAACATACTTCTCCCTAGCATAGAGCTGTTTCCCTAGCAAACACTGAATTGAGTGGTAATAGATAATCTCCTGGTAGTTTTATTTTCTTCTGTTTATGTATAGTACATGATTTTTTAAGCTACAGCAAGTACCCCAACTTCATTTTTGATGGCTAACACCAAAATGAAAGGCTGCTTTTAAAACAACCTAACAAACCAGCATTATTTCTCTTTTCGAAACTATCAGACTGTTAAATTTAGCAAATAAAGAGTTGGAAATCATCAAAAAATAAAAACCTGAAGTCTGACCAGAATTGTTTTTGTCAGTTGAGTAGAAGCAAGAAGAATATTGGCCATTTGGGCTTTTTCTTGGCCTGTGTGTTCATCTTTGAGTCCTGTCCTAAAACTGTATAACAAAATGCTCTCTATTTATATTTCTATGCTGAAGCTTCTGCTTAATTTAAAACAGCCTGCAATCTGTATCTATTTAGCAGAATGCTTAATTTCATGGCCAGCTTTAAGCACTTGCTGAATTCCTGATATGGTGTTACAAACAGAATCATAAGCAGCCACAACATTTCACTTAGGTAATGCTTTCAGAGTGGCTGAATTTTCCTTGTAAGTGTATAAAAAAATTAAAAGATCATTGTTAGAAATAAGGACACCATAGCTTGGTACTAGGAGGAAAATAAATCTGTATCTGAACCACTCTCCATGCCAAGTCCATGTTATCTCCTTTTCACAGCTGTAAACTGAATAACAGAACTGTGCCTGCTCATTTGCATAGATGGCAGAAATGGTAGATACCGAGGAAGAATGCACATTTTTCATTTAGCATTTTCATTTAGCATACTGAACCTGGCCTTTTAGTGTGAAATACAACTGACTTGTATTGCAATATTGACCTACAAACAAAGTTGACATTATAAATTGTTTTCTTTTGTGCAGAGTTCATGCAGAAAATAGCAGATGTGGTGTCCTATATTCGCAGAGAAGTGCAGAAAAAGAAAGGTATTTCCATGTTCAAATGAAGCTAATAGATTTTTATGCAGCACTGCTGATGTCTGGGAGTAATAATATGTGAGTACAGCTGGAAGCCACTGGTTAGAAAAACTGATCTCACACTGGCGTCTGTAAGACACATTGTTGGCAATCTTATGTGTGTTTACATGACAAAAGATTAATAGCTTTTGTGCTAAGAGACAGCCAAATTAAAAGCCTCAGGAGAAACAGTGGCAGTGGAAAAAATTCTGTTCGTTCTAATTTAAATTGGAATAAGTGGTGCTAGAAGAGGTTCCCTACTGCTTAGGTTTAGCATTTCTTTAGAACTGCAATCACTCATAATTTATCTGAGTTAGGATTTAGGGGTTTTCTCAAACACTTTGGTTTGGGCACCACAGTACAAAAAAGACTGGATGAAGTTCAGCACATTTCCATGAAAGTTGTTACAGTCTTAGTACATGACATAAAAAGTTGGTGTGAGAAAATACTGTTTGTTCAGCCTGAGGAAAAGGAAATGAAGGATTTTACTATTGCTTTAGCTATCCAGTGAAAGGTTACAGAGAAGATACAAAGGACACAGTTTGCACTGACAGCAATTCTGGGTATATATTAGGAAATAAATACTTTCACAGTGAAGGTAGTCAGATATTGGGACAAGTTGCCCAGAGAAGATATGGAATTTCCATTTTTGGGTATATTCAGACCTTAGCTGATATGACTCTAGACAACATAATCCAACTTTGAAGTCGGTTCTCCGTGAACTTGGCTCTATGCTGAGCAGGAGGTTGGATTAGAGGACTTCTAGAATCCCTTCCAATCTAAATGACTCTGTGATACTTTTACTCACAATAAATAGTAAATTATCCCAGATTTAGAATTGCAACATATTTTTGAAATAAATTAAATTTGATATTTTATGTTGGCATTGTGCTTTCAGGTGGCAAACCAGGCAATCTGCAACAAACAGCTTTACTTGCTATGGCGTTCTGTAATGAGGGACTGTATGCAGCTGGACATGTAAGGCATCCTTTATGCTTTTAACTTACTCTTAGTGTGTGAAAATCTACATTCAAATGGAATATATTTGCAGAGTTCACTGCAAAGACAGGAGTTAGGAAAAAGTGAAGGGCTGAAGGACTAGAAAGTTCTTCTCTGGTGTTGACTATATTATATTACTTTGTTAAGGCTTGACACAGGGGAGCAGAGTGTGAAAATATTCCATTTTTGTACTCAAAGAAGCAGTAAGAGAGGACAATCCTAGTTTTATCTGACAACAGAAAAGAAGGATGGATGAAAAATAAGAAAGGAGAGGAAATGGACAATAGAATTGCCAAATTATTTTGTGCAAAATCCAATCTGACAATGCCATTGTACATTCCTGCTTAAGTGGGGGACAGATTCTTACAAAGTCTCAAAAACAAAAATATGAAATCTAAAGCATTATCTAATGAGAAAGTCTGTTGTTACCAAACATGGACTGCCTGTAAGAATTGTATTAAAGAACACTTTAATGTTCAACAGATTTATTATCTCAGTTTAGGGTTCTTTTGATTTAAACATACTAAAGACAAATGTCACCATTGGTGATGGGATGCAGTTAAACTGCTGCTCTAGTGATTTTCAGAAGATCTTGCAGTTCAGTTTGCCAGATAGTATGTGACATAGACCTCATGTGTGTTTGTACTTTTCTGCACAGGAAGGCATTTTAATCTTTTATCACATCAAAGGTCTGCAGTATGAGATAAAAATCTGTGCTGAAATCTCACAGCCCATATCCAGCCTCATATTTTCTCCTGATTACACCAGTCTGCTGCTTGTCACTGACCAGGTACAACATTTGAGATAACAGCACTACATAATGGGATATTCCTCAGATTCTATATGATTATGCTGATACTATTTGTACAAAATGTTTAATGTAATCATGCAACAAATGATATCAGAGCTGAACATAATCCATTCTGTGTTTTTACTGCAAATTGGAAAGACTTTTAATGAAGCACAGAACAATTATCTACTACAGATGGTGGAATATAAAGTACCTAATGTTGATATTTCCCATCAGAAATCCTTGTGTGTGTACAGTTGAGTACATATTTAGGGTCTCTCATGTGTCCAAGTCATGGATCTACTGTGAATGAATTCCGGGCTTGATGTGTGCCTGCACAGGGAGAAAAGTATAGCTTGGGTGGATCAGATCTACTGTGACTCTGCAGTAGAATTGCTCTCTATACAGACATGAAGTTTTGTGTTGGTGTAGAATATTTATTCATTTGTGCAGTAACATGAAATTGGGTGTCTTTAAATTCTTTTATTAAAACAATTTTGAGAAACAAAACTTCTTGAAAATATGATTAGTTGGAGCACTCTAAAAGGAACTAATATCATCTTCAGCCAGGGTAAATTAATATAATCCACTAAACTCAGATGAACCCTACTGGGCGATTTTTACCTCAGATCAGAGTCAAATACAAAAGCTCAAAGAGTGAAGCTCAGAAAGATGGGGGTTTGTTTTTGAAGTCTCCAGAAGCTTCTAATGAAAAATTTCATAGTCCGGTGATGGATTATTTCTCTTTATTTGTCAGGGGACAGTCTATAGTTACAGACCTGCCCATAGTGGAGAAGCTGTCAAACTCTTGGACACATCCAGCAGTTGTTTTCTAGCAGCTGATTTTCTTACTCCAGGGAACAACTACTGTGTGGTAAGAAATTTTATTATTTGTAATATAGAAGTGTCTCTTTTCAGGTAACCAGTGTGTTGCTAAGGCACAAAATGAAAAGCCTTGCAGAAGTCAGGGTTGTTCTGATATTTGTTACAGTTATGTAACATCTCATTTAAGAAGTAATTGGCATTCATTCAGCTATAGTCTATAAAAAGGTCAGAACTTGCCTTGGAATGCAGGCTGGATAATTTATGTTGTATTGGTTCTGCTGCTGATTTTTGTGACTTAGATAGTTCAGGAAGATAGCTGAGCAAAAGATGGATTCAGTTCAGAGAACTGATGTTGTCCAACAATTGCTACTGATCTTTTCAGCCCTCTGCACAGATTGGAACATCCTGAGAGATACCTCTGTGCTGGGTCCAGGGACAAAGAAAGTCTCATGCACCCATCCATTCTTAGAAATTCCTTGCTTTCCATTGTCTTTTACTCCTGCAGGACATGTGTTTTAGCTACCAGTTCATTTACAGGCCATGAATTCTCCAGGCAGCCAACCTAAAAAACCTGGGATAATCTATTAATTTGGTTGAATCTCTTTGTTCTCCATTAGCATGGGAATACTAAATTTTACCTGGGTATGAGTAGTGTGAATGTTAAGTGATCTCTAGCCTTACCTCTTGTAAACCTTACTACTTGTAATTGTGCAATTACAAAATTACATGGATAAAGGAAGAACTCAAGTATTATTTTGATCTCCATCATTTTTCATGTGAGAAAATAAGACCTCTCCTCAAGGCCTTTCCTATGCAAATGAAATTATAAGCAGGTTTTTCTTTTGCTGGCAGAATATGGGGAATGCTAATATTGATCACGCTAACAAATTTTGCCCTGAATTGTCTCATTCTGCTTAAAGCTGCAGGAATGAACAAAAATTATTGAAAGTGTTCCTTAATCAGATGTACCTTGCAGAACCTGGATTTAATGAAAAGCTAAATAATCCCAGTTGAAACTAGTACCCCTTAATCTGCTATGCTCAGTGATTAGTTGAATCTATATTCTATAGGAGATCACTAATCACTTCCAGACTATTTGGTTATTTCATCCTCTTTTGACTCTGTTTTTCTCTGTTCAACAGTCTGTAACAATTACAGGTGAAGTACAAATTTGGTCCCTGGAAGATGGAACTTTCCTCAGCAAGCTAAACCTTGGTATTGAGGTACATATAACCAGGAGATTATATCCTGATAGTTAAAATTTTCTATATTTTTCTATTGATAGTGTAATATTCCACAGATTTTGATTGATCAGTGTTGAGGAAAGCTCAGTAATGTCTTTGAGCACCCCATGGATGAAATTTAAAGATTATCTTTCAGAATGTTTCCTTGAGCTAATCCTGTCATGTGTTTATCTTGACTACTAAGCAGAGGAAACATTTCAGCCAAATGTCCTCATGATGCATCTTTAAGCACATCTTTGTAAAAAATATCTAAATTTTTATGGTATTCCTTTTTTATTCTTCTTAATGAGTAACAGAAAAGTTTCAAAAGTATAAAAGCTAAATGCCTTGACTGATAATGAAAAACAGGTTTTAAGAATTGAGTTGATAAAAGTTTCAAACTGTTTGTGCTTTGTCCTGATTTAAGATGTATTCAAACCCTGAAATCTGACACAATAAAGAAAAAAATCCCTTTCTACAACAGCTGTAAACACAACAGTGCACTCAATGTTTTATTTAGGTGAAACTTCTTTCACTTAAAATCTGGAGAGTGGATACAATGGTTGTTTTTTCTCTGGAAAGAACACAATTAACTTTTGATAGATAAAATTTCAATTATGTCTCTAAATACTTTCTTTGTTAAAAACATGGGGTTTTTAATAAACCACTTGGGTTTTTCTCTTCAGATTTTAGGGACTTTTAAATAGCAAAGGAAATTGCATACTAACAAATACCATAATATATAAAAATATGTTGAACTGTTAAGTATCTTCTGCTTCTCAACTAGGCAACTTCTATGGCTTGCTGTCCCTCCTCCAACAGTGTTGCTGTAGGGACCCAAATAGGTCAAATTTGTTTCCTTGATGTTACCAAAGCTGAAGATCCACGGGTTGTTCACAGAACTTTTCTTTCCAAACTTCCAGTGCTGTCTTTGCAGTAAGTATGTAGTAGAGTAGAGATATTGTCAATTTATTGTTTGAGCAATTATATTAGTTAAACAAAAAAAAATTGTCATTTTTATTCTACAAATAAAAAATTTAAATATTTTAACAGCTTCTACATTTTTTCAGTATCTTCTGGATTGCTTGCAAGAGGTAGTAGCAGGATTCATATGAGAGAAATGTAGTAAATCTGTATTTTAAGAAGGTTTAACTGAACATAAAAGATACTGATATATAAGGTAGTTTCTGAAGAATCACCATATGCAGTAATTATGAACAATTCCATGCATCTGACTTTAGAGGTTTATTTCTCACTGAATATAAATTTAAGCTTTTGTGAAGTTAAGTTTAAGCTTTTTGGTGATCTCTTTCTATATGGTGGATTTTTGTTACTGTTGCTAATTACTCATTTACTTAAAGTCCTGGAGATTACCAGTCCTCTTGTAAATAGCTCTAGTGATCTAAAAGGCTTTTTTTTGTTTGGTTGGAATTTTTTGTTGGTTGGGTTTTCTCCCACCCCCAGTTATTGAAAAATCTGAGTGTTTTACTCTACTTTGCAAAAGATAGAATGGACTTTGAACTATTAAACTTTTATATAAATCTGCCTGTTACTTGAGACTCAGATGTATCCCTTTTCACAGCTGCCTAAGACAGTACGTTAAAAATAGAAAGCAACTTGTTCCAAATTAAATCAATGCAAAGGTGTGTTTTTTCAAAATAATATCAGGATCTGTGTAATAGTTTTATTTCTAAAAAAGTGGATGTAGAAGAAATTCTGACTTAACAAAGTTGTTAATGCAGACTGCTGTGGACTATGATCAGCTTGAGATTTATCACCCACTCAATTAGGAACTACACTCATAGCACTGGGCTTTATGTCTGGCCCTAAACCTGTAAACCTAGAAGCTGAAATTTATGTTTATGCACTCAGTCAAGTCAGCCAGTTATGAGAGTGAAATTATTTGACTCTTTTTATGGACTGTATTGAATTGATTTCTACTTGGATTTGCATTTTACCTAGTTATGATCAGAGTGGCCAGTTCCTCATTGCAAGAGCTACAGAAGGACACATCTTTATTCTAGATGCTCGTCCATCAAAATTATTCCAAGTTCTGGGATATATAGGTAATACATGTAACAACATTAATTACATTTTCTTTTCTCTATTTTCTGTATTTTAAGTATACTTAAAGTCAGTGAGGCTAAGCCATTCATCTTCATTCTACTGATTTTTTTGGAGGACGAAACATATTCTTCCCACCTGTTTTGTAAGGGCCAGAGTCCCTCTTGGGGTTTTTTGTTTTGGAGGGTCTGGTTGATTTGTTTTGGTTTTTTGCTTTTTTTTTCCCTTTGTAATTTTAGTTAGCAAATGTACCAATATTACCTTTCTTTCAGAGTGTGTATAGGTCACAGGGAAAAGAATTGATTAGATGACAAACTGATCACAGCTCTAGCACTAAAGTAATAGTGATGACAAAGAACTAAATAACTTTGTGAGAATTTGGACTAAAAAACTGTAGGTTATGATCATTGTGTGAAATCTCCTGTTACAAATTTCTGCCACAGACATCTTTAAAATGGGGATGGCTGAAATTGTCAGCTTTGCTGTTTGATAGTAAGGAATAAAATATGATTTTAATATGATAATGAATTGTGAATTTATCTTTCCAAAAATCATATTCTTACAGATAATATCTGTGTGTATCAATATTCACCATAATTATAAGTATAAAGGACGATATTTTATCAGTTTAATTGTTTTCACAAACAGCATTATATCTGCTTAAATAACTTTTGTAATTTGCCTGATCGTATTCTCATTGTCTGGAGGGTTTGTGCTTTATGTGGCAGTTATCAGCAAATGGGCTCAAAGTTGCTACAATTCAAGCTGGATGGAAATTCAGATTTGATTATTTAATATAATAATAATGTGCTGGTGCTTAGGGATTCCCAGCACCCAGTGCCTCAAGTGGAGTTGAGTGCATGCAGGACTCCTGAGCTGTGCTCAGAACAGGGATCTCGTTTTGTGCCACAGGATATCTTAGTAAAAACAATGTTACCATGCTGCAGTAACAGTTTCCATTGATGTTCCTTACCTGCTTCAGTAGTGGCAGACGAAGTGCTCCATCTTTCTGTGCTGTCTGACTTAAAGAACGACTTAGTTGAAGTGATGGTACTTCTTAATGTAGCAGAGGTCCAACAAGCAAGACTGGAAATTTTTCATTTGTCTTCAGCAATCATAACAGGTAAAAATTGAAAGATATACTAATATTTTCTAAGGCAATAAGCCTAATGTCGGATTTGCAAGTTACTTACATTTAATTTTTAGGAGGCCTTGCATTTTACAAACTTTTCTAAAACCGGTTTTATAGTTTTAAACAAAGTGAGTATTTTCTTTAAATATTCACTAATGTTGGACTTATTTTTGTGCCTATTTTTAGGTACATAAAATGGGGGTTTATTTTCAAAGCTGATGAAGAGCTACAGTTATTGTCTTCATTTCAATTTTATATCAGGTGCCTTGCCAGTCTTAATTTCAGGTGCCTCCTCAGAGCTCGAATTAGGGAACTAAAAAGAATAACATGCCCTTTTGAAGATGTGAACTGCAGTGTTTTAACCAATACCACCCAGCCTGTGTGTTCCTCATGACAGAGATTTCTAAAACAAGTTCTAGATGGAGGCAACGGTGACATGAACCTGCATGCAAGCTAATTGGCACTGCTGACATAATACTCAAGAAGCAGAGTAAATTAGTGTGTGCAAATAGTCCCATCAATGTGGTTAAGCTGTTTCTAGTACTTCTTTAGAGCCAGTAGAGCTAAAGCTCTGCTTCACAGCAATGTGCTGCATCAGCACAGCTCACTGAGCTGGTGTTACATCTATCTTAATTTCCCTGAAAACTGACATTGTGCTCACTCCTTGCTGAGAATCATTTTCATAATTACATGATAGACAAAGCACCTGTATTAGTGGTAGTCATGCCTCTTCCTCCCTTTTTTTTGTCAATCTTTTAGATAATGATAAGTATGTGAATGAACAAGGAATGTTTAATGCTAGTGACCTGAAAAAAGAGCAATATGATCTGGATTGCCCTTTGAGCTCAGCAGTCAGACTGAAGGATAACATTGTATATGGCTACTGCACCTCTGCACCTTTCATCTGTAAATACCACCTCTCTGAAGAGGTAATTCTCTGAAGTTGCATTATTTTGGGTTGTGGTTAAATACCAGCAAAAAAAAATGAAATGAAATTAACATAGAGGAGTATTGTCTTAAAGAAATCCTCTCTCCACTAAAAATACCTACTCCATACATACTCATCAACTTTCAATATCCTAGCACTTGCTCAGAAACCTGGCAAAAACAATGTCCTTGTTCTATTATGTTGGTTCTTAAAATCCACACAGCTTGCAGGCACTTTGCAAGTGGATTCTGTGCTGGAGCTGTGGGTTTGTGCAGTCTGCTGAGTAACTTGGACATGCAGCTCCTGAAGGGACTGAGCCAACGTCAGCCCAGGACTCTCGGATGCAAACCCAGCCCAGCCTCACAATGAAGCAGTGGGGGCTTCAGCAAGCCACTGTCCCTGCCTGCTGAGGAACTGCAGCTCTCTGCAGCTCATAGGTCTCCCACAGTTTAAGAGTCAAGGCAGGTAAAAAGGTGAATTCTAAAGGTCACAATTCCTCCTTAACATGTCCCATCCTTTCTGAGGTTCCAAGAAATTCCAGGCTCAAACTGAACCTAGACCTTTTTGCAGAAATGAGAAGCAAATCAGCAGCACAGCAATGGCACTACTTCCTCAGCTCAGTAATCCAACAACAGTTTAAACTGCAATGCATGTGGTAACCCACAAACCCCTCATTAATTTTCTCAAAATGGCATAGATATCATCTGAACTGCTCCTAACCTTTTGCTTGTTTGGCAGAATAAGTTGGAAGATCCATCAGTATTTTCATCAGAAAAAAAAATTCCTAGCAAACAGTTTGGATCAGGTTTGCTCTGTTTATCACCCAGCAGCCAATGGCTGGCAGCAGCAGCCAAGGATGGTGTTTTGTTTATCTACAATACTTCTACTCTGGTAGGTGGGCATCTGGGCAAAGGCTTTGTTTGATTTACATGAGAAAAAAGTGTGAAAATTACTTTCTTTAACTGTAAATTCCTCACTTGTATGTAAGGTGTTCGAGAAAAAATTATGTTGAAAACTGGCATACCATTATACAAGACTATTGTTTTTATCATGAGTGTGTATACAATAATACAAACCACTTCCTTCCTTCTTCAGTAAATCTTAGCATACTACATTTTGCTACTGTTCTTACCTCCTGCAAAATCAATATGCTACAAGCTTGTCTTCATATGTAGTCAAACCTTTAAAACTTAAAACCCCTAGTATTTTATGTACTTTGTATTGCCATTTTGGATTGACTTTTATCTAAAAATAATAAAGAAAACCACATTAAAATGTTTTTACAATTTAAATAATAAAAATAATTTAAAGACATATTCCATTATAAAAATGTATTTGCTGATACTGCTTCTTTGACTTCTCTAGGATATACTTGCTCAAAAGCATTGTCAGTCATATCAAGGAGGGGGAATCAGATCCATGGTATTCTCCCTGGATGGCAAGTTCATCCTAGTTAACGGTGAAAATGATTGTGCCCTGGTGTGTCTGAAGTGGAAGTATGTATAAAGTGGCAGACTAATACTGATTGTGTCATTTCTTGTATCCTGATAGATTCATTTTTGCATCTACTTGTGATTCTAGATTCCCTTTTCAGTCTTAAAGGAAGAAGAAGAATTGGATAGAAATAAAATCATTCCTCTCATCTTTAGAGGCAGTCTGGCCTCTCTAGCTCAGGAAAAGTCTTACACTCTGGGTCTGATTGCAGCACAAGATAAGGGAATATCTTTGGAGAAGTATTGCCTGATACTTATCATTTTCAAATCAGCTCTGGAAAGGGCTCTCTGGGGATGCAATCTCCTGCAATACTATTTTAATTCAGCAATCAGGAGACATCCCAGCTTTAATGGGAATTCAGCTGTGGCTATAGAGAGCTCTTAGCAGACATTAGGAGTAGGAGACACTTGAAAGTACAGCTTTTCTGTGGGAAAATAGATGTTCAGTTAGATGCATAGATTAAAGATGACTCTGTCAGAGCAGTATTTCTTATATGGGTAATACACCTTTCAGAATTTTTACTTCTGTGGAGATTTCAATTATGCAGTTCTAGAGCTCAAACAATTAAAAAAATACTGACTATGCATTTTTAAACAACTTAATAATTGTGTTATAAAGAATATTTAATACTTTGTCTTTTTCCATAATACACAAAAAATACATCAGTTTGCTTTCTGTTTACCAGGGAGATAAAGGAAACTGAAGTTGAGGAAGCTGCTCTTTACTGGCAATCTCTGCTTAATATACTGAAGAAGTCTACTTCAAATGAAAATTCTCTTTTAAAATCTATGGCAGAATGGAAGTTTGACCCAGAATCCACATCAAAATCACTTCCAGTAAAGAAATTTTATGGTTCTTTCTTTATTTTTATGGGGGAGAAAAAAGTTTGATTATTATCCTAAAATTGTACATGATAAAAATTGCCCTTAATGCACTGATCCTTTTGTTTAAGTGAAAGAATACCCCTGAGGATAGGCTGAATAATGCTTAAATAGTAATTTGTAGAAGAGTACGATCAAAGAAATAGGATATTTATGAGAAGATGACATTCACATCTTCAGTTTCACTTGGTTACCTCAGCCACTGAAAACTCTGTGAAAGTCAGTTTCTCCTCATGTGAAGTTACATGTCCTTCCCACTGTGATGTTACTGCTATACATTTTGTGTTACTAATGTATGTTTTTCTATTGAAATCAATCAAAACAGAGATTACATAGATTAGTCCAGTCAATCATTTGAGTCAAAAGGCTTTGCATAATAGCAAGGGTTTGCAGGATTAGATCTGGGGACTGGTTAGGCAACAAAAATATAACACTCTAATTTGGTGGTGGTGGTGTTTCTAATGGGAGTCCACTTTTTCTTTCATTTCCATCTTTCTTTCACTCGCTCTCTGTTGCTGTTGGACACAAAACGAGTCACACAGACACAGCTCCAGGTGTGGTGAAGGAAGGAGAGAACTTTGTTTTTTCTCTCAGAATTTATAGGTTTCTGACCATGGCCAGGGATTGGATGGTCAGGATAACACCTTCCCAACCACACTGGCCATGAGAGATGTCCATCACAAGACGTGTATCAGAAAGAATGTATACATATCTATGTTTACAGTTAATGTCCTGGGAAAGTCTTTAGAAACTATGTCAACAAGATTGAAAAACTGAGTTTTCAGGGTGACAGCTCTCTGAGTACCTGAGCTAGATGTTTATAGCCTTAATACAAACATCAGAAGGCACCACTGAAATCTTTTAATGCACAGGTGACGGAAGAAGATGGAAACATCACAAATACTGATGACACGACATGGATGGGCCAGAAAATACAGAAGGTACTTTCACAGAACAAGTATTAATCAAAGCTAGAGTTGTCAGGGGTCATTACTTGGGGTACCAAAGTATTTGCTGTAAAGGGATCTAGTTTCGAAAGCTTTTCTCACATTTGGACCTCTCTATCCATTGCAATCTAGACTTTTAGGAATTCTAAACCAAGGTTATAAGTACATCAGAGAAGGTGCCTAGCACAGTAGGAGCTCTGAAAACCAAAACACCACTTCTACACAAGGAGTAAGCAAAAAAAAAGGAAAAAATAGCCTTTCAAATTCTCTTCTTTTAGAAACTTAAAAGATTTTCTTATACTAAATGTCAAAAAGTTGCACAAAAGATTATTACCAGAAACAAAGCAGGTTACTCAATGAAAAATGAAAATAATGAAAATTTTCAACAATGAAAAATCTAAGGATTGAAAAAATCTGGGAGTAGGCTGTATGCAGCTCAATGTGTCTATAAGCATTGCACTTGCAATTACGTCTTTCCTTAGTATTTTCTTTTTTTCAAGCTCTATTGCTGTACAACCAATTTACAGTGTGACCTGGCTATAAAATCTGTTTTCTCTTGTGCAATTCTGAGGATCATTCTATTGAATTAGGGCTGTGTCAGTTTCAGTTATTAACCCCTCTGGCATTTTATTTTCTGTACAGATAATGGTCCTTTTGATTGCTCCAGTATTTTTTTTTCTCTTGCCTTTTTTTTTTTTGCCTTTCAACAATGCATTTATTGTGTGTCAGGTTATGAGAGAAGACACTTGGAGGTTTGCTAACCAGAAGGAAGAGCTGCAAATGGGAATGAAAAAGCTGCGTGAAACTGTGAGTTTCTTACAAGGGTAATGGCTCAGCTTCCCCATTTTGTTTACAAGAACACTTATTTTATGGCTGTGAGCTCTAGTGCTCAGTTACATTTTTGTCATAAACTCTGAGCAGACAGGTATTAAAGAGATGTGTTTCTTCAGGGACCAGTGCTGAAACTGCCAGGAGCTACTGTCTGCTTCTCAGTTTCCTTTGCTCCAGATGGGTATTTTGTACCACCTTCATACCTGAACTATCTGTTCCCTCAGCAGGCTAATTTCTGCCTGTGTAACAACCTTCCATTATAGAAAAGACTGTCCTCTCCTTTTTCTTCTGCTTCTTCCTATAAGGCAGTTAAAAGTGCAGGTAATTAAAATTATTTTCTTTGATACCAAGTTCTATGGTTTTAAAAACAGCATTTCCTCTATTCACATTCAAATTAATTTTATTCCTTATATTTTAAAAAAAAAAAAAACAGATTCAGAAAATGATGCATGAAAATGAGCAGGTACCAGACATTGAGAAACTCGAGTACTGGGAGTTCAACCTGGATTTAGAAGAACAGGAACGAGTGCAAGCAGAGGCTGAAGAAGACGTGGCCAGGGTATGGCAGAATGGGGGATCATTTTAAAACTATCAATGGAAAGGAGAAAAATAAGTAAATAACTGAGGATTATCTCAAATTTGCTGTCCAATTCTGAGAAGCAGAAAAACAGAAAAGTATTTAAAGTCACTTTTTGAAGCAGGTGAAACTGCTGATGCAGACAAGGCAAGTTGGAGTATGATTTATGCTAGACGCTATAAATCTCACACTATGGCCTTGGGCATGTTGCTTAAGTCCTAGGATGCTTTTCTTCACATGGAAAATGATGCCTTCTATGCAGATAGTTTTTGGAGAAGATAGCAGTGATAGTCTAAGATGAGGAAATACTGGATAATTCATTTCATTTCTTAGTCTTTTTTCAGTAACTCAGTGGAAATTGTCCATATATTGTTACTTCGCACCACATCCTGTTCTTTTCTGTGTCTTGAAAGGCAAGAAGGGAGATTGAGATGGAGAATTTATTCCACTGCTATTTGCAGGATTTAATCAAATATGAGTGCTGGGATGTTATGTGTGTAAAAGGACGTGCAGTTAAGGTAATCTCTGCTTTCTAAGACATTTTCTGCACTAGTTTATTTATTCCTTAAGGTACAGAGGCAAAATGACACATTTTTGATTTGCTTATGGTGTGGGAAAAACTATTTCCCAAGGCTCAGGGAAATCTTTTATTCTGTTAATTTTGTCTGAGCCTGGTGAATTTTACCTTCTAAGGTGGAAAATAGTGCTGATAAACAGATAGGCAACTCTTTAATTCCTTGATCTGAGACAGTGTATTTACAGACTGTTGCTAAAAGGAGAAGTAAATACTATTTTTCTTTGTCAATACATATGACTTCTGCTACAGAGAACATAAAGGCAAAATTTAACCCTGATTTTGCCTACTTTAAATGGAGGGAGATGAGTCAAACTGATGATACTGGATTATCCCAAGGGTAGTGAAAGACCAAGTCATTTTACAAAAAAACCCAAAGCAAACTAGTTCTGGTTTAATTCTGTGGACAAGGATGGATAAAGAGACCGCACCTCTGGATTATTTTTTAAAACTGTATTAAATACATTGTATGTACTAATTGATCCTCCATTTTATTCCTGATTTTAAGCAGTCTGTAACTGTTTAGCATTCTGGTATTGAACAAATGAACTGATAGAAGCATTCTGAAAAACTTCTTACTTTGGGTTTTTTTATTAATTTGAGCAGTGCTTCCATGTGGATTGTCAAGTGAGTAATTATCCGCTGAAGGAACGTAGTAAAGAAGAGCTGGAAACTGTGAAGAAAGTTCTCCAGTTAAAGAAGACTGGGACAGCTGATCTTAAGGTACAGATCATGATCTTCTGTGCTGGCATCTTATCACTTCTTTATCTAGTTACATTCCTAAGGCCTATTTTCTTGCTGTAGAAGTTGGCCAAAAAAAAAAGAATTTAAAAACATAAATAAAGGTAAAACATTGTTAAAAAAAGTACTAATCTTAGATAATCACAGAATAGCTGAGGTTAGACGAGCCCTTTGGAAGTTATCTGTTCCTGCATTCCTGGAGCATTTACTCAGGGCTGTGTCCAGTGGGCCTTGGAATATCTCCATGGTGAATGAATCCATAAACTTTCTGGGCTACCTTTTCTCATTTTTGATAACCCTCGCAGGAAAAAGAGCCCCCCAAGCCTTCTCCTTCCCAAGGGTAAACAATTCCAGTTCTTTCAGTCTGTCCTCACATATAAAATGTTTAAAATCTTTCCTGGTGTTAGTGGCCTATCACTGAACTTAATTCAGTATTCCCAGTGTTGTACTGGGGAGCCTAAAAATGGATCCAATATTCCAGATATAATCATTTCAACTGATATTATTTTGATTACTGAGCTTAATTGAAGAATATAAACTCTAGAGTTTTTTTCTTTGTGTGCCACTGGATTGTGTACAAACTTAACACAGTTGCTATGTTTCTGATATGCAGGCTCAGGAGACAAATCTTGAGGTTGACTCTGAGACTGCTCTATCTGAGGAAGAAGGAGAGAAGGCAGCAGAAGTGGATGATGATGGTGCACCTCACTGCCTAAGTGGAAGCCTGAGCTCTCAGTACGGTGGGGACACATCTGTCCTATACCATCAATGTGACTTACACACCAAGGAGCAGAAACTCAATCAGATAATATTACTGAAGGTAATATCTTCTGAAATCTCTCTTACTGCAGTGACACTCTTGAATCTGTTGGTTTTTACAGCAGTCACAGCCACTGTGACTATTTTGGACATTCTGACACTAAACAATGGAGAGTTGCACCAGTCTCTGAGTAACTGAGACAAAAGCTGATAAATACACATAGTGCTGTGGATTTGCCAGCTTGGGTTTGGAAGAACAAGATTTTATTAAATTGGTTATCCAATTTCAGGGTATCTGTATCCTTTTCATGGTGCATTTTAGTAAATTGACACAGTAAGAGAGACATATGCTTTGCCCTCTCTAAAGTTCTACTTTTCTTTGTTGAGATCAATACTTTATGCTAAAAGATTTTATCCTCTAAGAATACATGCTTTTTAAGAGGGTTATAAGGTCTGATGTTCTTAAAAAGTCAGTTTCCAATGTTTATTTGTTCAATAGGCACATTTTACTTACATATGACAGAGAATCACATGGAAGCTTATTGAAACTACAGGTTGCAACAGGAAAGTGTATAATTTGCTTTACCTCCCTGCACCTGTGATTTACAGTCTCTAGCTTTACAGGTCACATATTTTTATTTTGAAGCTCCTCCTTTCAGCTGAAGAGGGACAAAAAAAAGCAAATAGAGGACAGCCTAAATTTTTATCTAGCTTTGGCAGCAGCATGTTTCTTTCAGACTCTTTCTTAAATACCAAATGTGTAGAAGAAAATTAATAAAAATTTCTACGGAAAAAAAAGAAAAAAGAGATCATCTGCCTAAGTCCATTTAACAAAGCTTGAACTCTATGCTTAGGATTTTCACAAAAAGGGTTTACCAGTTTATCTCCTTGTCAGACACACAAATACGCACATTCATGATGCTGATGGCTTGAGGAGTAGTGTATAAACACAGGTGGATGTGACCTGAACAGTATTGCTGTTTCCTTTTTTGGTATTCCAGGACATCATTTACAAGGTGAAAACTGCTTTTAATGAGGAATTTGACGTAGTTGTACAAAAAAAGGAGCAGGAGATAGCACGAGTGAAAGAAAGAAACCTGAAGATCCAAGAAATCTTGGAACAGCTTGAACTTCAAGAGGAAGTGTGGGAGCCAGTCCTTACAGATGATGAGATGCCAGAGCGAGCGCTCACTGTTCAGGATTCAGAGGTGACTGAAAAGTGCATCTTTGTATTTCACCCATTCAAACCCAGCTCTCTAATTCTTCTCATTTCCAACATTGTGTTCAAGCAGATGTGTCTGTATGCTTAAAATCATCTTTTTGGTTCATTTTCTTCCCTTTCCTTCTTAAGGAGGAAAGCCTTAATAAGTCAATCTGAAGTGAAAAAATGTATACCAACTCAATTTATTGCTGTTAAAAGTTTCCAAAAGGCCCATAAATTAGATAGAAATTCTTTGTTCCTGACATTCAAATCAGGCTTTCAGAAATCAGGCTTCCATAGTTAAGGGTTTCTGTTTTCTCTGGGTGCCATTTTGAAACAAAGTAGTTTTAAACTAAAAATCTAAGTATTAAAACATACTTAGTAATGTACTTATAAATTCAATTACTTATATACAAAGAAACACCATAGTTCTTATGCAATATATTCCACTGATCTTATCTGCTCATGTAATCAAGCTTTTCCCATTTACCTTTGCTCTCTCACCAGTCCATGTTATCCCACTGTAAGAAAAGGCATATACAAAACACAACTAATATCAACAAAAGTGATAGTGGTTTATATTTTAGGTTATTTAAATGTAGTTTCTGTAGCTGTTCAAAAGGAGAATTTTCATCTTGAGGAATATTGTCATAGAGCACAGATACAGCAAGCATTGAGAATTTGTGTTACACCACTGTCATGGTTTAACCCCAGACAGCAACTATGCACCACACAGCTGCTCACTCACTGCCTCATCTCACCAGAGTGAGGGAAACAACTGGAAGGGTATAAGTGAGAAAACTTGTGGGTTGAGATTAGAACAGTTTCATAACTGGAATAAAATATAATAATAATGACAACAATGATAGTCATAATGTAATTAATGCAATTAAAACATAATCATAAATATAACTAACAGAAAAATAATAAAAATATAAGTAAATAAAACCCAAGAAAAACAACTGCTCACCACCAACACACCAATCCCCAGGCTGTGGGATGCACTGTACTCCAGCTAATTGGAAGAAAATTAACTCCATCCCAGCCAAAACCAGGACCACCATTTTTCCAAAGGGGTTTAGTCCCTGTGATCACATTTGGAGAAAAGAATCCTGATACGAACTTCATCTTCTGCCTTCAGATTAAAGCTGAGAAATACATGACTCAAGAGGAGAAGGAGCAAGCAGAATTGTTGGCAAGGCTTGAAATGGAAAGACGCCTTGCTGCTACGGTAATTAAAGATGTATCCCTTTTACAGGCCATTGTCTCTGTTTAGGCTTACTTAATTAATGCAGCACTGAAACATTCCAGTAATGTAGTATGGGAGAATAAATTTAAACTGGTAGGTAATGATGACATGTGTCTTTTCCTTCTTATTATTGTTTACAATCAGAATTACATAGGTCAGCTGTAGGGGGTAAAGATAGAGTCTTAGACTCACGGTTTTTAAACATGTGCTCAGGGGCAATTTAAAATATCATATCAGGTGGCTGGGAACTAGATACACGTCCAAATTCATGCTACTCCTCAATCAAGAGCTTTGGGCTTGATTGATTGTGTTTGTTGATTCAGCAGCCTCTGTTGTCCATTGTTCAGTCTAGAAGACTGTAATGCTTTCCTCTGGCTTTAAAATGCATCTGTAAAAAAAACTAAGATGGTTCTGGCCCCAAAATAGATGCACAATTACAGCTTCCATCATCATAGCTTGTCAGTTGGCCAGAAGTAACCTATGCCTGTGTTCTTTACAAAACTGCCAAAATGGTAGTTTTAGTAAATTATCTGGCATATGAGTATCTATTTACCAGAAAAAACTGAAACTTTTGGCTTGTTTCACACACATCCCCAAAATGCATCTACCTGCTAGTGACATGCTGAATAATCCAGAGGTGAACACTGTTATCATTCCCAAAACTTGCAATTGGTACTCTTCCTTCTGTACCTTCAAGTATTTTTTGTGGTTCTTCCCAGGACGATGAAAGACTTCGTGCTCTTGATGACATGATGGGTGGAGTGCTGGAAATCAGGAGGGAAGACATTTTGAAAATGGTGAGATGTGTTTCTGCCATGTCCTTTAGGAAACCTGTGGGCCCTTCTGGCAATGTGAAATGCAACCAGCAGATATCTCCAATCTTAGTGACAGAAGAAGGCTGAATTACTGTAGAATTGCATTATGACCAGATAGAGTCCACAAGAGACCATACACAAAAAAAAGACCACAATATCCTTACTGCCTGTGCACAAACAGAAAATGTGGTGTATCTTGTACTGATAGTAGTATTTGAATATCAAATTCTAGTGAATTTCTGTAAGCTAGTGAGTCTAGCACAATATATATACACTAAAATTACTGGTGCAAGTAACAGATCAGAGCAACAGAATATATATGTTACTTTGACTTAAGGCTTGTACCTTACTAAGAAATACCTTTTGTTAAATTTAGTGCATGCTGTAGTTTGTTAGTGTGCTGATGTAGACTTAATATTGCTTTTTAAGCATATTTTTTTCAATACTTCCAGGATATTCCTCCACCTTCTTTTATATCCAGACCTGAGGATCTTTGGACTGAAGAAGAAAAGAAAATATTTGAAGAATATGAGAAAAATGTCAAGGAACTGAATGAAGAAAAAGAAGACTATAGACAGGTAAATTAAAATGAGGAAAAGATGGGTTTGTTCACAGTGCTCATAACCAAAGCTTCCAATCTTTCTCAGATGCAACTTCTAAAAATGAATACTAATAAATAGGATAAAATAAGAATAAATTATCATCAAAGATCATATGGCATATTAAATAAATACTATCTTAGACAGAATTAGGCAATCTTCTCTCATAATAATTACTATGGGCAAAAACTATTAAAAGCTGTGATATCCTAAGTAAGTAACTTTCCTTCACAAATGTACCACTATTTCTAAAATGTGTTTCTCAAATTCGTTCTCAGAGTTGCTGATGCCATACACAAATAATACAATTATATTTATTCTTCAAAGTGGTATTGAAACAACATACATTTGTAGACTGGCAGAATTCTCTTTCCAAACAAGTAATTTCTGTGGCCTTTTGGCTGTATTATACAGTTCCATATTGTGCATTCTCCACCATCTCATATATATGGGCATATATATATCTCTATATATTGAGAGAGACATCAAAAATTATTTGTTCCTCCAGATGTAATATTGCTGCTCTTGTCCTTCCCTTCCCCAGTTTCTGAGAAATGAATGGAACAAACTTGAAGCTTCCATCAAGGAAACAACACAAAATTTTGATGAGATTGTCCGCAAACTCTTTGAAAAGAAAGTGAAATCAGAGATGGTCGTCTACCAGGTATTGCAAAAAGCATTAATTTTTCATCTCTGCCTCTGTGCAGAAGAAATATTAACTTTTTTTTTTATTACAATCATTTCACAGGAAGAACTCAAGATAGCCTGTCTCATTTACACTTTACTGTTGGATGAAGAGTTGGACACCAGAGAAGCTGGACTTCATAAATTCCTTACAAAAAAGAAGAAAGAAAAAGTAGGTTATCATTTGGAAAGCTGTTGTTAGGAGTAATGCAATGTTTACAGTACAGTTTCATGTGAAGTTTGCTCTTTCCAAACCAAAATTTTGCTGTAAAGGACTTCCTGACAATTTACAGGGTCATTGTTGGTTTTTTTTGTACAGCTGACAAACATTACAAATACCTCTGTTTATCTTAATTGGTACTCAGCTAAGTTCACCTGGAGTTCTTTGGTAAAACTTCATCCATTCAGAAGGACATGCTGCTATTTTTTTGCTACATATAATATTCTTTAGTACCTGTTATCAAGCTGAAAGTACAGTAGTAGGTTTAGGTTTTAATGCAAGTCTCTTACTGTGGTAGTCTGCAGGTTGGTTCTGGCTTTTGGGACAATATTATCCCATTTGGCTACTTTTTCTCCATGGAGCTGTTCATGACTCCACAGATAATGTACTGCTGCCTCCACATGTCAGATCTCCTCCTCAGCCTGTGCAGAGAACTGTGTGTTGGGAGCTGCAGGGAGGGATTCCAATCAGGCATCTAACCCCCACCACTGAATTGGCTGGACTAGTTTTAAAGCCATCTGAGGCCAAGTGTATACCAGCGTACAATTTTCAATTTATTTTTTTTCTTCATTTTCTAAGTGATCCCACTGGGACAACTTTTGGTCCCTGGAAACCATCAAATACAACAAAACTGTCTCCCCAGCAGAGTATTAACATTTAACAGCCTCTATAAAACATGATTTTAGTATCCTGACACATAGCAGAACTCTGCCATGACAATGGGGAAATGGCATTCTAAAGTTAAGAACTCTCCACTGAACAATATTTGAGATTTTTTGACTGGTCTTACTTGACACGACATGAAAGTAAAAGAAATCTCCATAGAAAAAAGGTATCAACGTGTGGTTACATTCAATGTTTCAAAAGGCTTGTAAGCATTTCTTCCACAAATCTGTTACATTCTTAAGCAGAGGGTTAGTTTAACTTCACAGCTCTTCATCATCTAGTACCTACAAGTGACCCCTGAAGAAGGCACTATATGGTTACTTAAAATAGCTCACAAGGTTATCTCTAGAAATAAGGTGTCAGGTTCATCACTGTATGTGAATAAACATTCTCTGCTCCTGCTGGCTGTTTCATTCCCAAAATCTTTTGGTTTTACTATAGGTCAAGGGTGCAAGGAAAGTCCTGACTACAAGATATGGTGTTGAGGCTTGCAAAGGGCCTTATAAAGACGCATTACATGAAGAGAAGGTGAGACTCTGGGAAACACAAGGAATTTCAGAAGTTAAAAGTTAATGTTGTATCTCCATAATGAGAAGAATGTAATTCTCTGTAAGCAAGAGTTCTGGCCAACTCACTGATCAATGAAATGAAGCACTAAAGGACAGTGTGTGCATAGAAGAGCTGATGAAACAGTGCAGATTCCTGTGATGTTTGGGAGCACTTGGAAAAGCACTGTATCCTGTATTTCTAAGATATGGACAGGTTGATGCTTTTTTTAAAAGTAATACTGTGGTAACAAGAAGGCTTTCTTCCACAACCCCAGATACTGGAACATGGTTTTATGAAGCAGTTTCCTGATGTACCATCCAATCTCCTTGAGGAACTTTTTCAGCTTTACGAACATCGACCAGAGTAAGATCCCCTCCAATTCCAGTGTTTAAATACTAATATTTCTTGTGAGTCAAGAATGAGAATACTATTTATTCTAATAGTCTAAATTATATTGCCTGCTTTTTATTGGATAGTTAACAATAGCTAATTTCCCATCACACAAACAATTCCTATTTTGAATATACATTTCCTTATTCACAAAATCTATTTCAAATGCAATCTAAACAATCATCAGGTTCCAAGACAATATTCTTATTTTGTATAGTCTTATCCATTTGCTTTTTGCAAGAGATTGAGAGTATGAAACATTCTTAGGTTTTTGTGACCTTCTTCTGTGCAAAAGAAAATACAAAGTACATCCTGTCTGTGCTGTTTGTGTGCACTAGGACCCCAAGGACAGAAACTCTCCTTAACACAGCTAACCCGTATGTGACGGGATCTCCTGAGGATTACCAAGGTGCACTTTCCCTTTTAATGAAAGCTATGGATGAACTGGATAGTCCTGAGCACAGGCCTAGTGGCTTAGACCAGTCTGTGTGGGAACGTTTTTGTCTAGCTAGACGAAATAAAAGGAAGACTGAGGAGCTGGTATGTAAAATTCTTTATTTTGCCCATATATTTCTTGATATTTTTGAGTCTTAAGCTTTAGTGGAGTTGTCACGTAGGGTCAAGCTAGTTGTGAAATAACAATGCAGGATACATAAACTCCATTGGCTTTTGAAAGTTTGTTCTGGCTACATTCAATTCAGAATGACAGGGAAACCTGTTCTCTAGTTCTAGCTGTAGTTCTTCAGAGGAAAACAGCATATTAATATGGATGGATTTGATCAGAATGTGGCCTTGATATGGTTTCATTAAAAAGAAAAGAATATAATTTTCCTTTTCTCTATCCATATGAAAAAAACCTATAAGGTATTTGATTCCCATTATCTGTTGAAGTCATCCTCTCCCATAAGCATTCTACACTTGCACCAATGCATTCCAGTATTTTTCTAGAATATAAAGAGCAATTCTTAAAAGGTGTTTCTGGAGATGTATTTGTTCATTATAAAAGCATGAATTAATAAATCTGAATTATCCAGAGACAGATGTACATGAAATTTGACCAAAAGAGAAGCATATATGATTTCCCTTCACATGAATAAACTATGCATATATGAACAAATAATATCCTGAGCAGAGTATAAGGATTGTAACTTTTGTGTCTCATAAGCTGTACTGAGATTCTCAAAATACTGGACTGCATATTTATATAGACAGATGTATTCTTAAGAACTTGTCTTCTCTGTCCTGGAGAGGCTTGCCCTGACATACTGACAAAGTTGAAGAAGTTGGGAATGTCACAATGTTGTTTGCCTAGGTGAAATGGAAGTCCCTAGCACTGTCAGAAATGCAGGCCTGTCTCCAGAGAAGAGTGGATGAAAATGAGAAGATGAGGTCAGAATTAGAGAACACTTTCCAAGAGCTCACTTGGTAATTTTGTGTCTTTTCCTATGTTCAGCTGACCTTTAAGACTCCACCAACACAGAACCAAAAGTTACAAACAAAATTATACAGCTCGGTTCTCCAGCACTCTTATATCTGGATTTCATTGCTGCTTGGACCTGCAATATTTCATTTTGTTCATCTACATAACATAATTTTCACATACATTATCGTTCAAGAATAAATTCCAAAGTAAAATATACAGGAAAATGGGACCTGGCTGGAAGTCTCTTCTGTCTTCTTTTCAATTGATATTAAGATTTCTTTTCAGTAATAACATTTTCTCTCAGAAAATCTGCTAGAGTATGTTAAACTGAATCCAGTGCTTGAAAACTTTATGTATACATATACCATAAGTTTCAGATTTTGTAGTCACTTTAGCAGCAAACAGAAGACAGAGTCAGTCAAAGAGTAAGCCCTACATGAACACACCACCTACCAGTAATAAATATAAACGCTGAGAATCATGGGAGAATTTATATAATCCTATTAAAATCATTAAATGCTATTTTTGTTTTCTGCCATCTTAGGCTGAAGGAGGAGAAGATGAAGCTTCAGCAGAATTTGACTGTCCAGTTTTTGCTAAAACAAGGACAGGTGGAATTGGAAAGTACTCGGATTCCAGATTACAGTGATGCTATTCTCATTGATAGGAGTGTTGTTGAAGAACTGAATTGCTCTATTGCGGTAATTTACATTATCTGGAAGAAATTTAAGCTTTCTAAACAAATGTATTGTTCTTCAGGGGCTCAGCTTTTTTCTCCAGTTTGACATCTAGTTTCAGTTCATTACAACACACCAGCAGGCTCAGTTGTAATCTAGAAGCTATTAAGAATTCTCTGATGTCTCTTCTCATGATGTAAAGATTGCAGTGCAAACTGCTTTCTTGATGTTCAATCAATACAATTCAGATCAATGAAATGGTGACAGTCTTTAGACACACCATCACTTACACATACATTGTAACTAGAAAATGCTAATATCATGGGCACCAGTCCAAAAATTCCCTCGAAGCAAACTTACAGTCATGTTAAGAAGCATTTGAATAGTGGCTCCCATTAAATGTAAAAATTAATACAGTTTTTTATGTAAAGTGAAATTGGTGATGATACTTAAAACAGTTTTTCATAGCCTCGTGAAATGTTCTTTTTTTAGGCATTCTAGCTGTACAAAAATTATCTTTTACTGCTACTGCACAAAGCCTTCAGTAACATCTGCAAAATACCTTAAATAGAGCAAGCTTTATTATGGCATTTTAGCAAGCTGAAATGCCATTCCATTCTCATATAAGATGGAGGGAGAGGTTAGTTGTCACTTTCTTCATCTATTTCTATGATCTAAGGCTGTGACAAAGAGCATGAAAGAGAATGAACTTCCTTAAAAGATAACCATCTGGAGCAAAGTCTGGAACAAGACTGCAGTATAGCATGTGTAATTGACTAAAATTATGAGTTTGGAAACTTGCCCATCTTGTTGCAAACAATTATTCCATAATCTGTAAAGTGTGTTAATTAAGATTGATCTATTTTTTTTTAGGCTCAAGGAGAAAAAAAAATTACTGCCATGGTAGAATTTAAAGACTTCTCTAAAGGGATAATACAGCTTGAATGGGAACACAAGAAAATGAAAATGCAGATACAAGATCTGAAAGAGAAGGCTCGGGATATTGTAATACTACCTATTTCAAAAGATTGCCAGCTTGTGAGTTGCATTTTCTGATTTATATTTTAACTACAGAAAGTTATGCTGCATACCTGTAAGAAAGATTGTTTATATTTATACCTCATAAATCTCTTATTACCAGAGAAAAGTGATTCCTAATAGGTCAACAATTCAGCTTTCAAAGGGAAGTCTTACTCATGAGATTGAGCAGTGATGAAATTCTTTGGGATGTTACAGTCTAAATAAAGGCAAAATTAGCCATAACTCTTAGTGTTTCAAAATTTGCGTTGAATAAGGAATCAGGATTTTGCAGCCACAAGAAACAGATCTCTTAACTCGAGCAGAGTCCTTTTTAAGTGGAAGGTCTGAGGTGCCCCCATCTGGCATTGCACAGAAATACTGTAACTTTGCTCTCTACAGGGAGACTGAGCGTTCCTACGGGAGCCTCAGCGAGTCCCACCCTCTCACTGCCATTTGCTGGCCCAGCAGCAGAACAGGGAATTGTTTGTTTGCCATGCCCGGCAGGCAGGAGGGGGCAGCCGGCCAGCATGTCAGCACCTACATAGCTTTGAACAGGCCAGGAAGAAGAGGTAATGGTTATGGGACACAGCCAAGGATACCACTGGAAGAAGAAAGGAGGAAGAGGAAAGGTTGTAGGGAAAGCCTGAGGGTATTGCAGTATGGGATGTTGAAGACTGTCAGGAAATGTTGTAGTCTTATGGTGATGATGTAGGTGGCATAAGGGTTTGGAGTAAGGGATGTTGAAGGATGAGTAAGCTGGAGATACAGCAGTGGGGACAGCTATAAAGCACAGAGAAAAGGGCAAGTTTTGGACAGCAGGTAAGGATATTGCAATTCAATCAAAATATTAGAAGAAAATTCATAACATATGTTTTGCTTAATCTTCATTTGTTTTGCTGCTCCACAAAATGCTTGTTCTGAATCAGAGCCACAGGACTTTGATAACTAACACCAATCACCAGAACAGCTTTCCAAAGAGGTGATGTGACAACGCACTGAAAAATTATTGTGGCAAATTTATCACCAGTGTTGCCGTTAGCTCAGTTCATTAAACTGATGAGCAGAATTCTCACCCTTCAGAGAGTTAAACTGCATATAGTAAAGGCATTTACCAGTTTAATCAGAATTTGAATGCCCTGAGGGAATTGACTTATGTCACTTTTTGATTAGAAGTATGGGGTTAGGGGCAAAGACAAGGTAACAAATACCCCAACAACAGGAATGGAAAGAAAGATGGCTTAGATAAATGTGAGTGGGCAAGGACAGAGACCATTTCTAATAAGGGCTGTTAATGAAGCAGTGAGTGAATGAAAGAAGTTTAATCCTGTAGGCAAGGAACCCCTTCTGGGTCTTTCTTGTTTCTCCTCCTCTAACTAGAACAGTCCACAGAATTCTGCCTGTCACTTTGGTGGGACAGAACTCTGGAAGGATGAATCTACATCTACAGAAACCTGCCTACTGCCTCTTATAGTTCCATAAAACATTGTGGAGTTTACCATTTGTCATTTGATAAAGAGGTATTTTAGTAGCAGTGTCAGTAGCTCAAGGAAAAAAAAAATAATAAATTCTCTGATATGTCAATTACTATGCAGACAGAACAATAAAAGAAGTAAGAATGATTCAGAAGCTACTAGACAGAAAATAATAATTTTCTTCTCTAGCCTAAAGACAGAATGTCTTAGGCCTCCAGCTATGTTAGCTTAGATTATGTTATAAGCAAAAGCTTAGCTTGGGTTTTTTGACAGCCTCAGCATACTTGTTTGGCCCTTGTTTCCATTATAAAGATATAATAGATAACATCCTTTTTAACAGCTGCAGTCTAGTACTCACACAGCATCCAAGCATATCCTTACAAGGTCTATTTATGATTACTAGTAAGCTTTACCACTGCAGAATTCTATGTTTTTGAGTTTCACATAGTATGATTTTCTTTATAGAAGGGTGGAATTGTTGAGAATGAACAGGCATAAGATAATTTCCTTATGATTTTATTTCTTCAGTTCTTAACGGCGCATAACTACGACACCCACATCACTCAGCACTTAGCAGGGATGGAGGAGAGCCTTGGTGTCATGGATAAGGTAAATCCAAGGGAACCACCATATCTGAGAGACACATCCTTAGTTTAAATGCAGCTCCTTGCCTTCATTAGCAAGAGGTGTTTGAAAGAATAAGTGCAATTGATATAGGCATGCTAACTCAAGGACTGTTGGAGTACACCCATAATAGCACACACAGATAGATACAGATATAGATGTAGATATAGATATATCATGTATTTGACCATCTGGCTTTCAATAATTTCCTCAACTTGAGCTGTGCTGTCTACAGCAGCAGTTCTCTAGTGCTTGGAAGTAGTCATCACACATGGATTGCTGCAGAGATGAAGCTTATCCACTTGCTCTGTTACTGTAATTAAATACTTTCCTATCCTGAACATCTCAATGCAAATCTGCTAATCATTTCTTACACGGTACTGCCTATAAAAGTCACTCTTCCATATCTAATGAAGCATTCTTTCAGTCTTCACTGTTCAATGTTTCTCTCCAAGAGCACCAGCCTGTTCAAAGTATCCTTGTCCTCGTTATTCAAAATAAGAGACACAACAATCTAGTTTGCTGGCTACCTCGTTCAAATTATGACTGTCCTTGTTTTTAAGTGATTTCACTGGATTTTCTCCAGGTTGTGCTAGTTGGCATCAGCTTTCTCTTCCTCTTCAAGCTTTAGTATTTATCTTGTCCCTTTACAGCCCGTCCATCAGCTTCAGCAGCTCCCAGCAGCCAAGAGCATGTCTTTAACTCACTGATTTCCATTGACTTCCTTTTCTCCCTTTGCCTTTCATGTTTTATCTTTACTATATCTCTCTTCCTGACCTAAGCCTCTTTATTCCTTGACTGCTCCTTAAATTAGAGCTCCATATACTGAGATACCCGTGTGTGAAAGACAGTTTACAAAGTAAAGCTTCCAATGTGCTACAAAGTAAAGCTTACAAGGTGCTACGAGTCAAATCAACATACATGAAAGTTTATCAAGCTACAGCACAGTGCTTAAAATTATAGCTTTTTGTCATTAGTCTGTACAGTTTTTGTATGACCCCGTATATTTGCTTTAATCATCTCAAAATGAACAGTTGCACAAGAAGAATGTGAAAAGCCATCAGAAAAAAGTCAGAGAGCTGAAGAAGTACATCCGTCTAAAAGAGCAAGCCAACTACGAGCTCAGCCTGCAGCTGAAGGAAATGCTTGTCTCTGTGTCAGAAAGGATGCACATCTTCAAGGCAGCTGGTGAGTCCAGTGATGCACTTTAAGGCACAATCAAAGAATGTTCAGAAAATTCTTCTGATTTTGATACTGAATGTTCAGAAAAATCCCTTTCCAAGGCTGGACAGTGCTGTTCCCCACTATCAGCTAAGGGGCAAGGAATACCTGTTACAGTATGTGCACAGTGAGCAGAGTCCTTCCTGCCAAAACTTAACATGGTTACTGAAGAGTTACCTGGAGACTCTTGTGGCTCTTAACCAGAGTTAATTGACCAAATTCCTGAAACTGTTCAAGTCAAAATATCACTGTTGGTACTTGCTAGAAGCTAAAGAAAGCATGCCCAGTGCCTTTTTGAAATATTTTGCTTTATTCAGTACTATAAAGGCTCTGAAGCCCAACTGTGAGTAATTTTTAAAATGCTTGCCTATTTTATACAGGAGTTGGAATAACCCCAGGATAGGTCCTATATAAATAAAGGCTATGCATCCCCTATGAGCACAGGCTAACACTAATACTTTGTTTTCTGCAGACACACGCGATATTTCTGAAAAGAAGACAAGGCAGCGTTACCAAGAGATTTTGAAGCAGAAATATCTACGGAACCTTATAAGGGAACAGGAAAAACAGCTTGAAATTCTGCAGTCAGAAGTTGAAAGCTGGGAACCAATAACACCCCATATTACTTACAAATCAGAGGCTAGGTAGATGAATACCACGGTCTTATCTAAGGAAAAAAGCTTTGACAGCTGATTCTTCTCCCTGAACTTTTCTTTCCACAAATTGTTTCTTCTGTGATTCCTTTAAAAAAACTGTCATTTGAAAGATGCATGGTTGTCTAATTTGTATTCTTTACACCTGGTCTTAATCCCATTATATTTCAGTTCATGAGATCTATTTCTACTTGTTTTATTATATAAACAATATAGCTCATTACAGAAAACAAAGGATACAATTTCTTGTAGACTGATAGAAGAACAGGTATATTTGTATGTCCATTGTTTGCAATACGCAATTGTAGAACTTTTTAAAGGTAAAGAAATCTATGGATGGGCATCTGCTACAATTCATGTCTGTTGATTTGACATAATAATTTATCCTTGTGGTGGCACAGGTGTAGGTTTAGGAGCAGATGTAAGGACGCTTTGTCTTGACATGGGACCTGGCCCTGTCCCAAAGGCAGCTGTGCCTTTTCATGGTATAATCACCCACAGCCAGCAGGAGCTATGGCAGCTGCCACAGGCAGAATCACAGGAAAAACAGGTTTGGAAGCATCTGGCCTCCTGAAATAGTTGGTGGCATCTCTCACCCCTTTACACTGAGATGCATGTATTCTCCTAATAGCTCCCTCCACAACAGCTAAAGCAAAATACTCTACCTTTGTAAGAAAAAACTATTTCAGTTGTGATCCTGTAAGTATCTTTTTTTGCTTTGCCATCTGTAACTGGGATTTGTAATCATCCTTCATAAATTCACATGCTTACATCTCACTTATTACAAGACTTTTTGCCTTTCTGCTGAAACTACCCAAGAAGCAGCACCGTTCCTAATGGGCCAAGGACCTCAGGGAAGATAACTGGTCCCTTCAACAGGCACCATCATCTTTTTGCACAAACCTAAAAAGGCAAAGAAATGGTGCTTTAATATTCAAAATGTGATTTGCAATAAAGGTTGTTCTGCATTAATTCTCCCTGGACAGCAACAGTCAGTGTTCTTAAGAGCAAGTTCTAGGTACAGGCTGAAGCCTAATGTGCCTTACCAATGGTTAAAAGGTTCTGTATCATCTTTGATTTTCTTTCTCTTGAGCTATCTAAGAAATTACCCCCTTATTATGGAAACAGGATAGAGCAGCTGGACACAAAAGAGGTAGGGTATAACCAGTAAGAAAACAAGATTCCTAGCAGGGTGAGTTGTAGTCAAATTTATGTAAGATTCCTAGCAGGGTGAGTTGTAGTCAAATTTATGTATTGTTACACTTGAGCAGCAGTGATTTTAGGGAAAAGAAAAAACAGAAGTCACCATGATGAGAAAAGAAGCAATTTCAAGTTAAATAATATTTTTTTTAAAAGACATTGGAGAATAAATGAAATGGTAAAGATTTATTCAGCTTTATGATGCTGTGTTTGAAGCAATTCCATTAAACACATTAAACAAGGCCTTTTTTTTCTTATTTATTTGAAGAGAGAAAACACCTTGGCTCTCAGAGTATAGTAGAAGAGTAGAAAGTTGGTTTCAATTTTCTTGCCTTCCTTTCTATTACCTCAGGATGTGGCAGAAAGGTTGTGAGACAGCAGCCCTGAAGAGATTGTCTGGACCAGCACCTGAAAGCACTGCATTATGGCACATTTCCCTAAGTAGGAGTTAAAGCCAGTGAGAACATCTCAGCTCTGGAATATTAACATCATGAGAATTAGCTATCTTCACTTAACTCACAAAATGCTGTCATTAGCCTTCATTGGCTGACTGGCACCAGGAAGACATTTGTAAAATGGGTGTATCTACAAACAAACTGAACTCTTCCCCATCTGACCATGCAGAGACAAATCAAAAATGAACTGCTTTCTACCTGTTAAACTATGAATAATTTGGTTTTTATTAAATAAAAAATCACTGACTAAGTCATTAAGCCAGATTCTCCAAAACATCACCAAGTTTGATTTTTTTTCCATAAGTAATTTTTGTTACAGTGCCTACTGTATGTATGTTCACAGCTTTACACGTATCTCTGGAGAAAGCCTCCTAACCCCAAAACATGAAGTCCGCTGTCTGACCAACACTTCTGACACAATCAGAATTTATTCAGTCTTTTGTGTCTGTGCAAAGGAAGCTTGTAGTGCAGTAATTGGTCTTCTAGCCCAAAAGTATCGATGAGCTCAGTGAGACTCACTTTCTTGCCATCTGCAGAAAAGGCTGACTGCAGCTCATACAGCATCAGCTGGGTGCTACTTCTCCACTTCACTATCAAAGCCTGCAGCTCAGACAGGTTGTTCTGAAATTGGAACAAAGAGTCATCAAAGAAAGAGTCTGCTGACATAAGGGGGTTTTTATACCCTGCAGATATTCTTATAAAATGCCTTAAACTGAGACAATACACAAACACCACACTAAAAATACTTCCATTGAGTAAGTACTTACAGTAAGTATTGCCTCACCTTGGACCGATACATCTTCACCAGTTTGAGCCTACGCAGTAGCTCTTCCTTCTCTTGCACTTGTTTCACCAGCTTTACTTTTTCTTCCAGGGACTGCTGCTGACCAAGATCAACCTGTGGCATATCTGAATTCTCTGCTGATCCACAGGGATCACTTTCCTGTGAGGAACTTTTGAAACATGTGTGTCCAGTGCCATTTCCTTCCAGGTTTTCAGAACCATCTTGTAATCTGGAACAGTCTGTACTTGTCTCTGGCAAGCACCCTGTGTCAGCATCAGCAGAATCTTTTTCTTCTGTGTCTATTTTGAGGCGCTTTGCCACTGCAAAATTGGCATTAAATGAACGTCTTGTTTTCCGTAATCGTTCCCTCAGAGCTGCACTCATTTGCTAAAAAATAAAATAAATAAACCAAAAAATCCCAGGTGGGTCAGGATAATCTTTAATTTTTATCAAACCTCTAACAACTGTTTAGCCATCATTATTATTTATATAGAATATGTAATATATTTAACTATCATTCTAAAGCCAGACTTCCTAATTCTCTGTATAGCCTTCAAAAACTTGAACAAAGTTAACTTCTTCCTTTCACGTGTATTTGCACACACAGCTGCAAGACATGGAAAAATGTAGCTCCACATTTTCTTGGACAAAATCCTGTATTCTATTGGGGTAAGCTTATTCATCTAGTCTTTGTGTAAAAGAAATATAGCATATTTCAACTTGGCTAATTTTATTTTATCAATTTCCTCTCTAGCTTAATGGAGGTAAGAGTTATTTTTCCTGCTGTGCCATCCTATACATTTGTTTTAGAACATAAAACATCTGTATTCTAGAGCATATTAGAAATACCTGTATAATGTTGACCTGTTCATACTTCAAGATACTTCACAAGCATCTAAAAGGATTTTTTCATCAAAATAACTATGTTTTATAATCTGTGTCTAACATTTTTATTCCTAGAAATGCACTAAAATACGAGAGTGATGGATTAGTTACAGAATACTTTCAAACCAGGCCTGCCCTGCATAGATCTGGATGCTGCGTGTGACAGGATCACCATTTCACATGCTGGGATAAGACCAAAGCAGAGCTCAGCCCTATGGAGAATATAGAAACTGAAAGCATTGTACTTTGTTCCACTGGAGGCAGAAATCACAGAAAGTATTCCTGCATGCACAGCAACCCAGAAAACCAGGATTTGAGAAAACTGAAGATGACAGGTTAAAACAAACAAGCAAAAAAATCCACCACACACCCTATTTAATATTTAAATTTATTAATATAGCATTTGGATTATGTTGCTCCATCACTCCAAGAAACATCTGCATCTTCAGAGCAAAGTATACCAGGCACGTTCCGTACCTGCACAGCCTCATAGCTAGAGGTATAAGGACCTGTCTCTAGCCTTCCATCTGGCAGTATCTCAGTGGCTTCTGACTCCTTGATGATTTCACAAGCATTTTTGTTACTATGAAGAATCACATTATCGGAAAAGTAGTAATTTTTCATACCTGTTTTGCTGAACTAGTCCCCTGTGCAGGTGCTGCTCCAGAATCCTTTGGAGTATTGCACAAAGATGGCAATTTATCCAGCACTGACTCTTCCATCTTGAGATGAATAGCAGCCTCTGTTAAATGACAGAATGAATCATGGTGTCATTGTCACCTGATTCGAATGAGCCATGTGGCTGCAGAAATTAGTAAAATGCTCTGATATGAAATTCTAAAGCTTATTTTCTAATTGGCATGTTCAAAAACAACAACTGCATAAGTTACACAACTGTTTTATGTGCTACGTAGCATCTTCCTTTGTGAACAGCTTTTCTTTAAGAGGATGCATGACATTACTAACTGCCATAAAGTCTTTTACTACCCATTTTATATATTATTTTTCCCTCACTCCAGAAGCTCTGTGGAGCCAGGAAGATTTTTGTTGTCCACAAGTATAAAAAGTTTACATTTTCTGTAGAATATAATTGGGTATCCAGGTCTCTGAAAATTATCCAGTCTCATTTGATCCTTCTGGGGATGCTGCTTAAAAAAGTAATTACTCACACAGGTGGAAGTTTTGATTAACAGGAAGCATCCCAAGCTCACTCAGGCACCTTAATTAAAATGGTTAAGTCACACCTCCCAGCACAAACCAACTTCAAATGGATTTGGCAATGTTTAACTTCATTTAGCGATTGTGACCCATCTACTAATGACCAGAATGCAGCTGGAAAATCGACAGCTACACCTCCACTCACCTGCAAATTGCAATTTGGAGTTTTGAAACAGAAGCCTCTCAAGAATAAAATCCTGCAAACCAAAACTAGGCAACAGAGGGCTGGCACAAGGGGCTTCCTCTTCACAGATGAAAACTGTCAAAGCTTCAGTATGCCAAAGCCTCAACAGCAGAGCAACCCTGGTCTTCCTGGCTTGATACCAAAGGATGGAGGTCCTCATTTATCTTAGAAGTCAACATTCCCCCCCAGCTGTTCAAAACTGAACATACGGTACTCTTAAAAAACCCCAAGCCTTAGTAGAGCCTAGTTAATTGGTTATTTTAGCAATCTGTCAATTAAACTGGAAGCTCATAGCATCGATTAAGTAGAACGGAAGCTTAGTACTACTATTTCTTGTTGTAAGCAAGAGCCTAGAAAAAGCTACATCATTTTTATGTATACTGTATGCCACAAATACGTAATAAGTCTTTCCAAGGAGCAAAATCATTTCAAGTCTAAGATACCTTTAAAAAACCCAATCCTAGGATTCTCTGCCTTTACTTTCTAATGCAAATTCGTTTTCAAATGACCACAGCAAATACTTTTTTCACTGGTTTGCTAATGCTGTTACTTGGCAGCACATTCACACAGTTCCTACACTTTTGAAATCCTTTTCCTGTATTTTAGGTTAAGAATCCTTGGCATTCTCAAGCAGTAATACTGTTCACCACAGAAAAAATTCTGTCCAGCAAGTAAAGAAAATTTGAGTTAGAAGGGGAAAAGACAGTTTTGCCTTTCAGTACTTACTTGACTTTTGCACTTTGGGTACGTCTGTAACTACGTCCTCAGTTTTCCTGCTTATAGCTACGTAATATAACGGTACGCACTCCTTTTACTGTCTCAACAACAAAAGACTCTATTAACACTCAATACAGCTTTTGCCTTGCTAGTTTTCCACCCGCAGAGAAGCAGGACGAAGGCTGGGCAGCCCATAAGCAAGGCCACAACCCCGTGGAGCTCGTTCTGAGGTCCTGCACCCTAAAACCGCAGCAACAGCACCAACCCGCAGGGCTGAGGAGCGACGGGAGGCCCCTCGGGGAGCACAAACCCCCCAGCCCAGGATGAACGAGGAAAAAACCCTGCAGAACCTCCCTTCCCAGCCTCGCTCTCCTCAACCGCTTCAAGCTCCCGCTGCCGGGGCAGGGGCG